TGTATGACCATGCTATAACATGTAGGTTGCTGCAATAAATACATAAATGTGAACACGCTGTCGCAGGAATACAACAGAATTTTAACAGAACTTTGCTCCAAATCTTTTTCCGTCATATCTTAACATTCAACCCTTAAAGATGACTAAATCAACAATGTGTTGGAGACTTTTCAAATGTTATCATCCCCGTGCCATACTGCATATTCTCATCAAAACTCGGATATTGTTTTGCAACTGATGCAAACCTCGCACAAATCTTATGTGCACCATCCGTTTCACGTGACAGATATTCAAAGAGTTTCTTCATTCGGAAGGAATTTGTCACATAGATGTCGACATTGAACAAAAAATGTGTATTATAAGTGGTTTGTGGCTATCTTTTATCAGCCTCTACTGCTTGACCACACAGCCATGAGTCCGGCTGTGCATGTACAGGGTTCAGACAGAGCCCTGGACACTGTAGGCAGAGTCAATGGGGCAATAGGTTTTAAGTTCTGCACTGATGCAGAATGGAGGGACAGTTTAGTGATTTTCTAACCTTCTGTATGACAGGTGGGCCTGACAAAAGCTTACATATCTACCCGGTCTCAGCATGTTTTTCTTTGTACGATGCCAAGCGAGGGACGTTGGGATTTAGGGATATTGTTAGGACCTCGATTCTCCTCAGAGGACATCTCTGTACCTTTCATTTTCAGCTATCCTTTAGGAGAAATGGTGATTTTAGTTGGCTTCAGGCATGTTTCTCTCAGGAATTTGATCATTTGCTTAAGTGCCTGATTTCTGACAGGATTCAAGGTGTTTGGGAAATAGATATTTTAATCTTTAGAATACAGACATGAACAGGCGATATGGTCTGGGTACCATGCACGCCTGTGCTAATTCTTTTATCGAATATCTCAGTGGCAAGACACTTTAATTTAAAGGCATTGCAGATTGGTAGATAGCTGTTAAATGTATGTCATTTGCTGTTAATGGACTAAAGCATGCAAACACGGCAGCACGGCCCTTTGAGAGTCACCAAATGTAAAGCCAACGGTCCGTTTCAGCCCCTATATAATGCAGGCACTCATTACATGAATGTTACCCAGCACATGGTAAACATATTTCTGACGTCCGAATGCACACAAGCCTTCAAATGTTTGTGTTTCATTAGCGATGAAAAGCCAAGTGGAGGTAAGCCGAGCAAAGGCAGCTCAGAGGGAAATGGCTGTAACGTGAGGCTGCAGGAAATGGTAGTAAGAAAACCAATGATTATGTGTGAAGGCACAATGAAAGAGCCAAGTCAGGACATAACAAGCGTCACAAAATATTGCGGGTAGACTATCACCGCTGGTTCCATGAGGTTAGTTTGAGGTTGCTCTCAGTACGATTCAGAGTGCACACCTCCACAAGAGTCAAAGAGGTTACTTCAGATAGCTTGAGTCAACCCACAGTTCAGTTGTGGGGTCAGTGTGTGGAAACATGATCAGATTGTTCTTCATTGTAGCTATGCTCATGCACGCTGGTGGAAAAACAAAATATAATGTGGGAGGAATTTAAAATCAGCAGGCCTGGATCTGCTCCCTGTCGACAGAGTGTGGAAATCTTCCACCTGGACATCAACGCTGGTTATAGATGCTTCTTTAAGTCGCTGATCAGAAAATCACACTACATGTTGATCAAACAAGGACCCCCCCTCAATGCAAAATCTTGTGCTTCATCTTGGGGTGGATGATCATGCCGTGAGTGACATGTGGACAGGGACCGGCTGAAACTGGCTTCGCTCTGTCTCTGGACCGAGTGGTCAGTCGGAGGTGGATTCTTGGCGCCGCTTCCCTCCAGCTGAAGTCATGTCTGTGACTCAAGTGTCTCAGAGTCTCCTTCTTCCTATTCGTCGGCTCGTTTCTCCATTCATCATTTTCTCCTGCGATCAGTCTGTATTATGTAAAAAACAAATATAAAAAACAGTTGCACATAAACTTCGGTTTATGGCGTTTCGTACGGCCGATATTGACACGCTGCTGCAGTCTGAGCTCAATACTCGTTTTTCTCAGAGCGATAAAGAGCCTAATAAATGGAAATTCCACTGTTAGGTGGCAATTATTGAGTCTTTTATTGAGTTAAATAAAAACAGGCTTCCAATTAAACTCCCTTGTTCCACTAAACAAAAGCTGGTTCCCATGAATACATAGTTGTAAATACAGAATAAAATGCAGTCACCCCCTTGGCACCACACAGGTTTTTTATTTCAGTTGTGAATAACATGTGAGAATGGTGTTGGACATTTGCGTAACCCACTTTTTCCACCTTTTTTTTCAGGTTGGTATTCTGCCTCTTTACATGTGTTCGGGATGAAGCACCTGTTGGATACTCACCTCCACCGGTTCCTCTTTCTCCACCTGTTAGGGGCTGTCACATCACAGGTCAATCCAGGTAGGCCTCCTCACCAGACTAACGCATTGTTCTGATCTCTTTATGCAGCCACGGACAGTTAAGAGTGTGAGTGCAGTTTTTTGTGTGGGTTTTTTGTTGTTTTTTGTTGTCTGATTCTCCAGCGCTGCAGTCCAGACAGTGACCGATTCACATTTGGGATAAGTGGTGCTTTGTGAGAGCCGTGTGGTCCCCTCTCCCCGGGTCGGCCTCTTTCATCTCAGTGCGCACGCCTCTCTCCAGCTCTGGTCCCTCTGGGCTGTCCAATTTTTTTATTTTTTATTTAATTTAACGAGAAAGTGGAGTAGCAACATTTGGAAGGCAGAGAATCAAACACAAACCAAAGTGAGACTTTCTGTTATAGTTGAAACAGCAGAAGAACAGCAGAAACCTGCCAGCAAAAACCTCCAGCTGGCCTCTGTTTGTGAATTCAGTGTCAAAGCCTCTGTCACTGGGCTGGGGTTTCTTTATTGTTGAAAGAATAATGATTGACATGGACTCTAAATCCAAAGAAATGATGGGTTAGCTCTAAGTTAACAGGTCACACTGAACTTTCTCTGTCGAGAAGTATTGAAGACGAAAAAGAAAAATATCTTTATGAAAGAAAATGCCCCATCACCTCCACATCTTCTGACATATCTCCACCGCTCGTCTTATATAATCACATTCATTTCTGTATTGTTTTAAAACTGCATGGGCAATGTCATGATGGCAGGTTTAGTTTTTTTCTGCTCTTTCAGCTGGAGATAAATCAGCTGTGTCCTGAAGAAAAGCTATCGTTAAGACTTTTTAAAAGCAAAGTAAAGATTATTAAACATTTTCAATAATAGCCTTTCTCCACTCTTAGTCATTCTGAAATATACATGTAAACAAATCATTCATCAGTTAATTATTATATTCCAAAAACCAAAAGGCTGACGCAGGATTTTGTGCAATGTTTGAACAAATCTGGAAAACAAAGGGCGGATGAGAGAGTGTTTCAGCCTTTAAACGAAATAGTGTGTGCATGCAGTTTCATCCCTGTTTCCTTACACGTCTGTTAGTCGACGCATTGCTAACCTCTTCAAGCATATCCTGCAGGAAGAACTTTCAGCATTCCACCCCAAACAAAAAGAGCTTTGATCATTTATGACCGATCATGTCAAATATATTTCAGAATTTTGGTATTCGACTCCAGTGAGACCTCTCACTTTTGACACTTTGTTTGTCTGTGTGCGTGTCCGTGTGTTATTGCGCCCACTTGCGTGCATATACCCACAAACACACGTGTACTGTGGATCCGACTATCCCACTGGAGTCTGTGGCTAATGCATACCAGACATTCTGACAGCAGGAAAGTCCATTGAAATAGGTTCTGTCTCTCTTCCCTTTGTGTGTGTGTATGTGTTTGCAATTGCAGTATCTGACCACTTTAAGTCATGGAAAGGACAGTTTGTGCATCTGATTGTGGTCAAAGTTCAACATGTTCATAGTTTTTTGCATGAATAACCAGGAGAATTCTGCAAGCAGAAATCCCTGCTGATTATTGCTTTAAGAAAATGCTTTCACTGTTGCAAAGGCTCAAATCTCAACCTGCTCCGATATATTGAAGGAAGGTGAATCCACCTACAATTTAGTCTACCGCTTTAGTTCTGCGTCATTGAGAAGAGGGTAATTTTTCCACAGTCTGGAAATATTCACGGCTGAATTTAGCAGAGCTGAGATGCTGCAGGATGCCAACTTTCCCCTATTTAAAATTCCCAAGCAATGGAGTTATACCATCCCTGTCTTTCCCATTTTACTTGTGAGTGGGCGAACTTTATTTCACTGCTTAGAAGGAGGCGGTGCAGTCATGAGCCCAGTCCTGGGAGGAGCAGCCAAATATCGTGCAGTCGTGTTATTGTGTGGGCTTCCTATTGGGAGGATGTTAGAAGTAAATCTTAAATGGATGAGCAGGTGAATCATTGACTGGATCCAGTGGAAGGATAGAGCTGGTGGAATTATTAAAACCAGGTTCCACTGCAACAGGCGTCATGGCGCAGTGCATTATGGGCCAAATCTGCCACAGCATGAAGCCACAAACTAAAACAATGGAACGAAATGCCACTAATCATTGGACTGTTTGTGTCATCTGTGCACGCCTAAAATTGTTTTGGAGTTACACAGACTTATACCAGATGCAATGCATTTGGAGGTTGAACCCAGTTGGAAACATAAATGCATGAAATTAAATAGAACTGGATATAATACAAACCTTAATGCTCACACCATGCCTTTTTTTTTTTTCTTTCTATGTGTTCCAAACAGTATAAGTTCATATACCACTACTAAACTGTTAGAACTGATACAACAGATATGGTTTTGTCTTGACACTAGTGGTAGATGTTGTTCATTTTTGTTTATCAATTAATATGATTTCACCTTCAAACTTTTGACGGTAACAGGCGATCAACTAACATGTGGAATAAAGGGTCAAAACCAAGAAACATGAGACAGACCTTTTGCAGCAGCGTAATTTGGGCTGATGATTCTCCATCCTCCTCAGCATTGCAGGGGGGTGAAGCTTCCCCCGACTGTCTCCGGGTGAGAGGTGTCCGGTCAAGTGGTGGTTGGTCAAAATCGTTGTAGGGGAACATTTTACATTTTTAATTTACCCCAGGGGTGCTCTCTGGTCACTTCCTCCCACCGTCCAAAAACATGCATGTTGAGTTAATTGGACACTCAAAATGGCCCCTAGGAGTGAGTGTGAGTGTGTGTGGTTGTGTGTCTCTGTGTGGCACTGTGATGGACTGGATACCTGTCCAAGGTCCACCCCGCCTCTCGCCCGTGGTCAGCTGGGATAGGCTGCAGTCTATGGATGGATGGTTGAGATTAACCCCCCCTTTAGTCCACTATGGCTTCTTTTCTGCACGTAACACCTGAGAGGGCAACAAAAAAAAAAAACATTGACTCTCTAGGTGTTGTTAAACTGACCCCACAAAAAAGCAGGTATGGGAATATAAACTTCCATGACTGCAGTGCGTTTGCTTGTGTGTTCCAGTTTATTTGGAGTCGGCGGTTGAGCTGCAGGCTCTGCAGAACAAGCCCGCCTTTCACTAGTCAGGGTGCGGTAAAAATCAAGAGGTGAGAGAGATGTTTGGCCCGTAACGCCTTCATCTCTCCCTCTCCATTGGCCCGCCACACAAGGCTGCCATTTTTCCATCTTTTTCTCGGGGGTTATTTTTAGAAGGTGTGGCTAAATGTGAAGCCCGATGAGCGGCGGCGGGGTAAATTCGTCGGAGCGTGTGTGCGTATCCAAATGTGCACTCTGGCCTGCCCCCGCAGCTTGCCCCAGGGGTCACCTCTGAGTAGGTTGGCTACATAAATAAATACAGCAAAAACCAACATTTGGAGGAGCGGTCACACATCCGGCACGACACACCGAAAACCCCTCTCCTACTCTCTGTGGGATGTGGTCAAAGACTCTGACAATTGCTCTTTTAAAAAAAATCTTATTTCAGTGTTTGGTTCCAGGTGTTTTGTAGGGTAGATAACTGTGTTTTGTACTCTGATAAATAACCCCTGGGGAGCTTTCCTGAGATTTTCCCTTTGAGACGTTTCTATGGTTGATAGTAATGCTAAAGTATTTATATTTCATTGTTAAATGTGAGCTCATGAGAGGAAATAGAAAAGAAAGAAAAGCCTTTTTTTCTTCGCTGTATGTTTTCTATCCATCCAATGATTTTCACATCATAAAAATGTTGTCACAGTACTTATGCTTTCTGGAGGATTAACCCCATCTGCTTTGCATTTGCTTGTCTGTGGAATGGGAGAACGGTCTGCGTTCCTTTTCCCCAAGAGTCTGTCAGTTATGTAAACCTGTGATAACAGCTCCAGACCTGATCAATTTATGATGGTCATACAGGGAAATACAGAGGAATTTACCAGTGTGAGAACCAGTATGGCAGTGGATTGGGAAAAAAACATCTCTTAAGACCATCCTTAAATATTTCAGCTAAACGGAAAAAATAATAATAATTACATGTCAGAAGCGTGCAGACAAACCCATGAAGATAAATAATGCTCATGTTTAACGCTCACTTTTAGGGAGTCTTTACAACTGTTTGCTTAAAAAACATGGGCAGTTGGTCAGGTCATCAGTCCAATCTTGAGGCGTCGCCACATTTTGATTTTAAAAGAAACATCAAGATGAAAAGAGAAGAGGAAAAGGGTGTCACTAGGAAAAAAAAAGAATGATGGAAAGAGCCAGAGAGAGACAGAGAAGGTCTTGAACCTTCAGCTCTGCTGTTGCTGGCATCCTCTCAAAGGTTTTTCTGTGAGACAGGCTAACCGGGTCACACTGCCTGAACTTCCAACTCCAGCTTAGTTGAAAAAGCTGCAAACAAACCCGATCGCGTACACAGAAACCAGGTTCTTCCAAGGTTTCTTTCATCCATACATGAGGTTGGGGGGCGGTCACATCCTCTTAGCAGGAGCTATCGGAGTTAGATCTGCCCTAACTCCTGAAGAGTGTAAAGTTTTTTTATGCTCTGAGTAACAAATACACATCTGCGATGATTTTTAGAGCCTCGTAAAAGCGAACACATGCCATGTTGGTTGTGTCACGCTCACTTAACCGCTAGTTTGCTGAGTCGTAATGGGATGAGGATGAACGTGACCTTTAATCGTGCAATTTAGGGGGCAGAAGGGGGAGAGGAGAGACCACACAGGAGGACGTAAAGGAGAGGAGGCAGAGGAAAGGGAAGATGAGTGGGTGGAGTAACATGCAGGATACAGAGAACATTGCTTGTATTAACCACACAGTGGGGGTTCGACGTAGATGTACAATCCACTTTTACCACACACAAACCTCTGGAAGAAACACAGAAATAATCCATCATGCTATGAAGGCTTTAGCCACATTTCGTGTCATTAACAAGGTATTGGGTACAAAGTGAGTCTTTTACATAATAATAATTGTACAATATTCAATATAGCTTTACAAAATTTCATAGGAATTTAATTTTAATGACCAATAGTTTGTTCCAGTAGTCAATGTATAATAGCCTAATTTAAAAATATTTTAAGGTGCAGCGTGCTCCTGTTACAGAAATGTGTTTTAGATTACAATCATGACCTAAAAGATTGTTAAGACGTTTCAAAGATTCATTCTGGCAAACATTTACCTTTACCCTGCTCAAATAAATCCCAGTTGTAAAGCCTTCATTTTTCATTAAGTATACATTTTATTCTCTATGCTTTTAAGTCTTAGCCAAACTGACAAAGTGCTGTAGGAGCTACACTGAATTTTACTTGATGTGCTCATTGTTCAAATAAAAAATGTTCATTTACATTATTAGATCATGTCAAATAAGATAAGTTGCAAAGACATACCATTGATGGTAATTAATAGTAAAAACAAAAAATGTATTAAGTTATCTGCAAAAAAATTGTTTCCTTCTTTATTTCACAAGAGCAAATTACAGCAGAAAAATCAGGAGTCCATTAACAACCTTTGAACTTTGTCATTCTGGGCTTCCCTAAACTGCACTATCTTTGCCACTCTCAGATGTGTGTCGGTATCCTCTGGGAATGTCTGGCGGGCAGATCCAGGATGAGTACATCTCCGCCTCCAGCCAGTGGTCTGAATCCACCGCAGCCAGATACGGCAGGTACGTCCCACATGCAGACAAACTCCAACATAAGCTCCACATCCCGGTGCCAGGGCCAGTTTACCTGCACTGAACCTCAAACTGGGGGTTTCATCCTACTCACAGAGACACAATTAAGCAAGTGTGTGTTGTTGTGTGCACACACACTGCAGTGCTTAGGTGGTCCTCACTACCTATCATGACGATTTAATACAGCTTTTCCATCTGTATATTTAGTCTCGCCCTGCTCCTGCTTTCTCAGTTGCCAGACCACTGTCTTAAATTAAAACTTAAAGATGAATTTACAACGGCAGTCTTTCACCGTGGTGTTTTTATAACTGGCTTTAAAAACTGAAAGTCCTCCTCTGCCTTTCGCATTGCTCCGACCTAATTAGTCTTCTCCCTTCCTGTTTTCCCATCTCTGATGTAATGCTAATGAAATTCCTTTTTTTAAATGTATTTCTCGACTCCCTTTTTTGTGTGTTTTTGCCTCTAGGTTAAATTGTGAGGAGGGCGATGGCGCCTGGTGTCCAGAGATAACCGTGGAGCCGGACAACCTGACCGAATTCCTCCAGATTGACCTGCGATCGCTGTATTTTATCACCCTTGTGGGGACCCAGGGTCGCCATGCCGGGGGCATCGGAAATGAGTTCACCCAGATGTATAAAATCAAATACAGTCGTGATGGCAGCCGCTGGATTTCGTGGAGAAACAGGCAGGGCAAGCAGGTAAATCAATCTGTGAGTCAGGTTTCTCAAGCTTGAATATCAAAGCATTATCTACTTTGACCTTTATAGCTAACGTTGAACAGGGCGTGCTCTCTGGTCGGATTTTTATGATCTGTGATTACTCACGTCAGGTATTTTTACCACAGATAATTGATACCTGAGAGCAGATGAATTAGTTTTGATTGGACAATGACTGTGGTTATTTTAAACTCAGTGATAAAAAATGCATGTTTTGTTGTCCTTGTAGGTGATTGAGGGCAACAGGAATGCCTATGACATCGTGCTTAAGGACCTCGATCCACCCATCATTGCTCGTTTTGTTCGCTTCATGCCCGTCACCGACCACTCCATGAACGTCTGCATGAGGGTTGAGCTCTACGGCTGCGAATGGCTGGGTGAGTTTAGGTTCCGGTAAAAATACAACGAAAAACAAACGAGGGGAAAAAGGTGTGGGATTTGTAAGCTACAAACACAGCAGTGGAGCTTTAGTCCTCACCTTTGAAACTCAAACTCCTTTACATTTCACACAGTTCTGTGTTGTAAAAGATATTCTGAAAAAAATGTATATATTGTATGTATACATCTGTGCTCACATTAATGGGAAAAACTAAAGGCAGAGGCTATCATGCTTTTCTTTGGAACATTTCACAGACAGAATGCTAAAAAGCTTTAGGTCTCACTCATACACAAATTTTAAAAAAGATCTTTGCGATAAAACAGTTTTCTTAATTCGTTTTATATCCTTGTGACACCCTTTTCCTCTTTTCTATTCATTCAAATGTTTCTTTTTCTGTTTTTAAAAGGAAGATGCTTCTGAAATATACCCATACACAAATGTATTGTAAATAACACAAAGCAAAAAAGACAAAGAGGATTATTATTAAACATGAATGCATTTTTTAGCATTTTATTCATCTTCTGCTCTCCCCTCAAGTTTTTATGCACCAGCATGTCCTTCACATTCACTGGTAAATGAGACATTGTGGGCAGCAAACAGGTTGGCAGCCTTGAGCAGGAGCCACATTCCCCCCTGTTTGGACCAGTTGACCCCCCCCCCCCTCACACAACCACCCCCATAGTCTTCCTAACCATAACGTATACATTCTCTGTCTGCTTGTTCCAGTGTGTTGTTAAAGTAACATTATATCACTTAAACTTTTTTTCACAATTCACAAAGTGGAAATTTCCATCCATCCCACGTGCACCTCGGCTGACAGTAACCATAGCGACCTTCTACTCAACAGTTTCAAACAAACTATGAGGTTCTAAACAATGGTTTTTCTGACCCATACGAGTAGGGGCGCCACTAAAAAAGTCACCGGGTTGTGCGTGGGCTCTGATTTTCAGAACGTGCCGTCGTCTTTTCTCCACAGACGGCCTGGTTTCATACAACGCCCCAGCCGGGGAGCAGATGAAGCTGCCCACTCACCCCGTTTATCTCAACGACTCTGTCTATGATGGAGCGGTCATCCACAGGTGAGGAAGTTCTGCTGAGTTATCCCCCACTGCTGCTCTGCCTCCTCACGGTGTTATTGTCTGGTCACCATGGTAAACGAAAGCAGAGTGACAGATTGAGACGTGCTGTCTGGTAATACCTCGACAGGGTGAAGTTTTAAAGCTGGAATGAATCAGTCGGGGCCTTTTTTTCATGGTTTTGTTGGGACCGTGGCTCGGTGAATAATGTCCTCCATGACAAAGAAGTTCTTTCCTCTCTGCCTCTGTCATGGAAAATGTGGAAAAGAAAAAAAAAGGAAATGAAAAAGCTCTCATTTTTACAGCCAAATGCAGAGCAGATATTTTGTTTGGCAATGCTGCCACCTTATGTTGAAGAGCCGAACTGTTTTTGGGTTTTGACTGAATTTCTACTTTTTTTTTGTCATAGATTACCAGTTTTTTCATGTTACCAAACATATAAAACTAGTTTTTTCATTAAACTCTTAAACAGCACAAACAACAACACTTTTTTTCTAAAAAAAAAAGAAAGAAAAAAAAGAGGAAATGGTCTCTGGGTGAATAACTCAGTTTGATCTTTCAGTCCAGCTGAATTAAACCAGTTGTGCTGCCTCTGTCTCAGTATGACCGAGGGCCTGGGCCAGCTGACGGATGGACAGTGTGGGCTAGACGACTTCACGCTCAGCCACATCTACAACGTGTGGCCGGGGTACGACTACGTTGGCTGGAGCAACGAGAGCTTCCCAAGCGGATTCGTTGAAATCATGTTTGAGTTTGATCGCGTACGAAACTTCACCACCATGAAGGTGAGCTCCTTCTTAAAACGGAAGAATAATCTCAAATGGAAACGAGTGCTGCCGCTCATTGGTTTGACAACGTGCGTGTGTGTCCAGGTCCACTGCAACAACAGGTTTTCCAGGCAGGTCAAGGCCTTCCGACATGTGGTTTGCTACTTCCGCTCGGATTCAGACTGGGAGCCCACGCCGGTTTCCTTCAGCCCAGTGGTGGATGAGAAGAATCCAAGTGCACGTTTTATCTCCGTGTCACTGGCCAATCACATGGCAAGCGCCATCAAGTGCCAGTTTTACTTTGCCGATGCCTGGATGATGTTTAGTGAAATAACGTTCCAGTCAGGTGCGTGCTGAGGAGCCATTCGGGCGAAGTTTGACCGGGACTGGCTTTTGTTTTAGAATGGAAAAATAAACTGTTGTTGTCTTGTGTTATTTCAGATACAGACATGTACAACACAACTGTGGCTCCACCCACGACAAAGCTTCCTCCGAACCTCATACCAGGTGAGCGACGGCGACACTGACACATCCACTATGGGAATATTTTATCACCAAACACTTCTCTTAATCCCTTGTAACTTCCTCTGTGATGTAAATTATAGTCAACAAGTTGGGTGTTTGTTTTTGGTGACATGAACCACTTTTCATGGGAGCATTTGATTAAAAAATAAGAAAAAAAGATAATGTGGTTACTTAGAAGTGTTTTTTCTGAACTCTAAAATACTCAATAAGTCATGTTTAAGTCAGACACTCTATGCATGAAGAGCTGTAGATGTCTAACTTTTACTCAAGTTCTCACCATCGTTACAAGTTTTGCTTTTGAGCCAAAATGAGCAGCACTGTTGCAGCCTCATATAAATGGAGTTCACCCATATTGTTAATTATCAAGGACAGCTAAAGTTCTGACAATGGCGGCCAGAAGACCAACTGATCCCACCTATACTCACAGAGTATTGAAGCTCTCGATGAAAATAACATGCAAGACATGCAAGGAATGTATCTCACTGTCTCCCCGCAGAAGAGGACCCGACCCATAAAGTGGACGATAGCAACACCCGGATTCTGATTGGCTGCTTGGTGGCCATCATCTTCATCCTCGTGGCCATCATTGTCATTATCTTGTGGAGGCAGGTGTGGCAGAAGATGTTAGAGAAGGTGAGCGCACACCATCCTGCTCCTTCAAATGACTATCTCAAACAATCTGCACTTTAGGATTCCCAAAGTAATTTTACAGCATTTGAATGAAGGTTATACTCTGGGAGGTGGTCAGATTTGTCCCCTTTATTTTAGGCCTCTCGTCGGATGCTGGATGATGAACTAACTGCTAGTTTGTCAATACAGAGTGAGACATTTGGCTACAATCATAACCAGTCACGCACACTGAGTGAACAGGAGTCTAATTCCACCTATGAGCGCATATTCCCGCTCGGTCCAGACTACCAAGAACCATCACGGCTCATATGTAAGCTGCCAGAGTTTGCCCAGAGCTCAGAAGAGCCCGGTAAGCTAGCACATCTCCTTACTTAGACAGATCTCTATTCGATCTCTATTCAAAGGACAAATAAAAGTTCTCATCCTGTTTTGGTTTTAGTGAAATTAATTAACTGACATTGCATCTTCAGCCAGTACAGCAACCTCAAAATCCAACACGACCACTGTGGTCCAGGACGGCGTCCCTCACTACGCAGAGGCGGACATCGTCAACCTGCAAGGCGTGACCGGAGGCAACACATACGCCATCCCTGCAGTCACCATGGATCTGTTGTCGGGAAAGGATGTTGCCGTGGAAGAGTTTCCACGGAAACTCCTCACTTTTAAAGAGAAGTTGGGGGAGGGCCAGTTTGGAGAGGTGTGTCCCTTAGTTTCCAACATCTTTTGGAGCTCATAAATACCCCATCGAAATTAGACTCACTGTAACTTCCTCCTGTTTTCTTTGTAAAGGTCCATCTGTGTGAGGCAGAGGGAATGCAGGAGTTTATGAACGAAGAGTATTTGTTTGACATCCCAGAGGACCAGGCAGTCTTGGTGGCCGTGAAGATGCTCCGTTCAGATGCCAACAAGAACGCTAGGTGACCGCAGTGGACAACTTGTCGAATAAAATGATCGGGATCAGGCCGCCTGTTTTGAATTCCACTGCTGTAAATTTGAACAAACTGCGTTGTGTTTGTAGGAACGACTTCCTCAAGGAGATAAAGATCATGTCACGTTTAAAGGACCCCAACATCATTCGGCTGCTCGCCGTGTGCATCTACAGCGACCCCCTCTGTATGATCACAGAGTACATGGAGAATGGAGATCTCAACCAGTTTCTGTCTCGCCACGAACCTGAGGGACAGCTCGCCCTGCTCAGCAATGCACCCACTGTCAGGTCAGTCTGTGGCTCATCTCTCTCAATATTGTTCTTTTTGTTTGGTCAAGACACCCATAAGACCTCCTCCATTTTCTTCCCCAGCTTCAACAACCTGTGCTACATGGCCACCCAGATAGCCTCGGGGATGAAGTATCTCTCCTCTCTAAACTTCGTTCACCGAGACTTGGCAACCAGAAACTGCTTGGTGGGCAAAAATTACACAATAAAGATAGCTGACTTTGGGATGAGCAGGAACTTGTACAGTGGAGACTACTACCGCATCCAAGGCAGGGCCGTGCTGCCCATACGCTGGATGTCATGGGAGAGCATCCTGTTGGTGAGAGTGGCCTCCGGAATTTGCCCTGTTGTTCCCACTTCCCGTCATCTTTTTTTTGGCTAGCGCACCAAAACGTGCCTGCTGTCTTTTTGTCTCGCACAGGGTAAGTTCACCACAGCCAGCGACATGTGGGCCTTTGGGGTGACCCTGTGGGAAATACTAAACTTCTGCAAGGAGCAACCCTACTCCCAGCTCACCGATGAGCAGGTGATTGAGAACACAGGGGAGTTTTTCAGGGACCAGAAACGACAGGTGAGCATGAGCACAAACCTTTGTTTCACCAATGAGCAAAAAGTGGAATCCAAAACTTAATTTCCCGCTCACTGTCTCGCAGATCTACCTGCCCCAACCTGTGCTGTGTCCGGACTCTCTCTACAAGATAATGCTCAGTTGCTGGAAAAGGAACGCAAAGGAGCGGCCCTCCTTCCAGGAAATACACAAAGCCCTCGTGGATTTACAACCCTAGCCGCAACCGGGTTTGAGACAGTTATCCCCAGAGTGCCCATCTCTGGAAGCAGTGGTGCATAATGGGAGAAGCAGATACAATCCAGGTCTAAGCTATCTTGTTTCTGCAGAGATGCAACGTGTGGGTTGGGGGGTGGGGGCCACCTGTGGGGCTCCAAGCTACCACCTGGGAATATAAACTTAACACACTATAGAGGAGGACTACCAAAGGCGTTGTGTTTCTGTCTCAATGCATTAGCACAAATACACAGACAAAGGGATATTCTTAGGAAAAACTACTCCCACATCCTTCAAACACAAACAAAGGCAAGTTTAAAGACATGAACTGCGGCCGTGACATCTGTTGAGGGAGCCAAAAAATTTTGATGTAGCAAGTGACATTTGGCACTTTTGAGTCTATTTGCAAATTCCATGTGTTTTTAGTGGTTTGAGTTTCTCACGTTCCAGTGATTTGAGTTCATTGTTGAAGAGCTTTCTTGTGTTTTCATTTGGAAGACTGCTTGAATGTAGGGGGAAAGGCGCAGCAAGTTCGCTGCTGTTAGGTTTAATTTTATTTCAAGTATATCATCTCAATTTCAAATAAAAATCTGCACATTCAGCAAAAAGATAACCGAACACATGTCTGACTTCTGCCATTTTCCCACAGGAATTTCAACATGACCTGTATATGACTGTGTATTTTCAATAGATAAGTTTAATTCTCAAATATAATTTTTTGTATTAATATTTATATGTGCATATGTGTCTGATTACGTATTGCTGATATATTTGTGTTTTATATATATATATGCCCTGTAACTGGAGTGTTATAGTTGATTTGCCTGGTAACGTTTAGGATTTTGTTTTTCCCTGCTGCAAACCGTCAGACTTTAATCGAAAATTGAGATCTCCACCATTCTTTTTCTACAATGAAGCAGATTTTTCAGGACGCTTGTCGGGAACCAGGCCGTGCCATGGCTTCTGTGCTCTGTTGGATCAACCTTGTGTGAATAACGTCGGTGTTATTGGGACGATGTCTGAGTGTGTTGTGGATGTTGATAGCTCTTTTTTAAAGTTATGAATGCAAAGGAAATTGGTGCTATTGAATGATGTCTTTATATGAGACAATGGAAGAAGTAGAAATAGGAAATACTTCACGTGCGTGGCAGATGGTGTCGAGAATGAAGCATGAAATCCAACTTATAACTTATCTGCAGGTTTTAGTTATCAGCTCTAATTTAGATGGATCTTTATGTAACTTTTCATTTATTTTATGCATTCTGTACTCCTGCTATTTATATTCTGTTCCTTTTTTTGCATTTCTGGCTTATGTCTGGTCTGAACCTTCTCTTTTCAGTGCTAAACACAGGCCCACTTCATAAATCAAAGAGTTATGGATACCCTATTACAGGACTTTCTAAATGTTTTTTGAGACACTATTCTCATTTCAAGAGAAAATAATGCTGAAATATTGTTTAAAATGCTCATTTTTGAGACATGTGGTGAATGTTGTTACTGTGCAAATGTAAAAGCACCCCGTCACCATCCTAATTGGTTGGGTTTTTACCAGATCTTTGTACTTAAATGGCTGTCTCTCAGAGAGAATACTTCATATATGCTGTAAACAAAAGTTAAAGTTTGATTTAAAAAAATGTAAAAATTCACAAATAAAATTCAAACAGGGAATTCGATCCCTTGCAGGGCTCCTGTTTTATTCATCTGGACTGACTCTTCCATGGCCTGTTCTTGTGGGCGGTCTTCTGAGGCTGAGCTGACTCATATCGGGATCTTATTGGCTGGGGTGCTCCTCAGTATCCAATCAGGGAAATGGGGCGGAGCCGTAAACTGACTCCACACAGGTGGAAGCGACTCCCTGAACCGGTGGGGCGACCTGTTGGGCTGCACTCTGAGGCTTTGTGGCTTCTGTGTTGCTTATTAAGCTTCATCAAGATGAAAAAGGTGGTTTTGGTAACGGGAGCAAATAGGTAACAATGTTTCTTGTCATTATTACAAGCATCTTTAGCATCTAAGACTGAATTTATTTAAATGAATCAAACAGATAATTATTTGTCAATTAATCTCCAATCTCCATCACCAATTTAATTCATGAATATAATCTATTGCTTTGAATAAAGTATTTTAAGTAAAGATGTTTGATTATTTCTTTGATCTCTTTTTATTTGACATGCTGACATTTTTGTGCAGAAAATATGTCTTTGGTGCATTTGAACAGAGTCGGTTAAAGTAAATCTTTGAATGATAACCTGCTCTGAGGTCTGACTGTAAGGTTAACGGAGGGTCTCCCTGCAGTGGCATCGGCCTGGCGCTGTGCGAGCGTCTTCTCTCCCGGGACTCGGAGGATCTCCGGCTGTGCCTGGCCTGCCGGAGCGTGACCCGGGCCGGTGCTGCCCGCTCGGCCCTGCTGGCCTCCCACCCCTCAGCTCAGGTGGACCTGCTGCCCATGGACACCAGCAGCGTCTCCTCCGTCCTGGACGCCGCACGGGAGGTCAAACTCAGGTGGGAGGAGGGGCTCGGCAAATGCTGACTCTCTGAAAAGGTCCAGCCGCTGGTCCTTTGAGTGAAAAAGGCCACCGAATTAAATAATGAGTCACCGGCAGGTACGGCCGACTGGACCACCTCTACCTGAATGCAGGCATCATGCCAAACCCACAGTTTGATGCAAAGGCCTTTTTCAAAGGGCTCTTCTCCAGGTACGATGCTGATTTCATAAAGACGCCAAAGATAATTCACATTGTAGTGATTTATGTTAAATACCATTTATTTAAGATATCATTTATTTATAAAGCGTCTGCTAAAATGCATAAATGTACATTTTAATACGACTCATGTCATCTGTGTCCCAAGGTGACTTTCTTAGGGACTCATATTTCTGTAACGGCTCTTTGCAGTGAGGCCATCACTATGTTTGCCACCGGTGGGGGGATTCTCACGCAGAAGGACGAGGTCACCGCCGACGGCCTGCAAAACATTTTTGCGACCAACCTCTTTGGCCACTTCCTCCTTGTGAGTCGCAGACGCTTTCGCATTTCAGTCGTCTCGGCCTGGTTTTTGGCCTGATCCACTTCACGTGTCAAACGCCCGACAGCCAGCTCCAGTTTTCTGCAGCCGTCTTGTTTAACCTTGTTGGGAAAGATACATTTGATACCGGATCCTGCCTGTTCATTAAAAATCTATAGCATGCCATGCGAGCCATAAGGTCACTGCAGACATCATTTTGCTTAGTCTGCATTCGCTGGTGAACTCAAACAGGTTGCTTTACCCTTAAGTTTCTCAAGTAAGCATTGATGGGTTTTTTTATCTGAAAATAAAGAAAATCTGAATTGTTTCATACAAAATCCCCCAATCTCAAATCAATACACTTTTTTTTTAAATGACATGAGCAGATGGTCTCACTTGAGCATTCAAAGTAAATGACTTGTTCAGATATGTCTTCTAAAGCTGACTCAGTCTCTGGGATATGGCCTAGGTCAGGGAGCTGGAACCGGTCCTGTGCCAGCCGGGCCGGACATCGCGGCTGGTTTGGACCTCCTCGAGCAACGCCCATCGCTCGGCCTTTAATCTTGAAGACATCCAGCACCAGAAAGGCACTCAGCCCTACAGCTCCTCCAAATACGCCTCAGACCTGCTCAGCCTGGCGCTCAACGCGCACTACAACAAACAGGTCGGCCCTCGTGCACTTCACGTGTGCGACTCACGCTGGGGGGTCACTTAAAGTCATCGGTGTGTGTGTTTCCTCGTAGGGTTTGTACTCCTCTGTCATTTGTCCTGGTTTTGTGATGACCAACCTGACATACGGCATCCTGCCCACATTCCCGGCCTTCCTCTGGACACTGCTCATGCCTGTCTTTTGGTTGGTGTGTTGAACTCTGTCTTGCATAATGATGAAAAAAAAAAAAAAGTTCTGATGTGGCTTCATCCTATAACTCTCTTTTTTGCTGACAGATAAGAATTTTCACAAACACTTTCACACTGACTCCTCAAAACGGAGCTGAAGCCCTGGTAGGCTAAACAAATGTTCTGATTCCCATGCATAGTTCAGCACAAAGTGATGCACTGAGTTCTGTCGATGTGTCAGTTTTGGCTCTTCAGGCAGAAGCCCGAATCTCTGGACCCCTATGCGAAGTACCACAGTTTAACATCAGGGTTTGGAATCAGCTACACACAGCCACGCAAGGTACGGCAGGTCGAATATCCATAAATAAAATATGATTTGAAAAGTCTGCACAGCAGTTTATTCATTGACTTTGATGCCTTCTGTTCCCTTTTGCAGATGGACATTGACTTGGAAACGGCAGAGTCCCTGTATGAGAAATTACTGCAACTAGAACGTGATGTAAGAGGCAAATTTGAGGGAGAAGCAAAACTAGGTTCGACATCCTAACAGACGACCCGCCTGCAGGACCCGAATTATGAAGCATGAGCATAGATTTCTTTCCTGTTTGCAATCCACCCAGCCGTGTAGTGTCTTCTCCTCACACTGAAATATGGATGTCAGCATTTACAGCAGGCTGAAAATTTCACTGTCACTGTTTCTGAAGCTGAGGAACTATCTGTGTTATAGCAGACTCATCAGAGTTGGTGAAGTTACTTTGAGAAAGGACGCACAATAAAAAATAAAAGCAACAGTTCTTTTCTACTAAATCCCAGTGCGATTGTGTTTTTTTCCTAAATATAACATCAAAGATAATAATTAATAAGTGTATGTTGCCTCGGTCTCGTGAAGATGGACTGCGTCTGCGCTCACGGTTCAGACGACCACGAAAGCTCTGTCCACAGTCATGTCAATCCTGGGATCCTCGCGATAAAACGAGGCGCAGTCGGACAGCAAACTGTAAGTGTCCTCGTAAAAGTTCACGTAAGGAGCCTGCGCGTGCGCGTCCTGGGTGCACGGCGGCGTCCGCGGATGCGCGCAGACGGATCTGGGATCGCGGTGCCAGGCGTCTGGGGCGCGCAGACAGACGTGGTCGCCAGTTAACGACGTTGGGTTTCCAATCCCAGACTCCTCTTCCTCGCTGTTTAGTTTAGGGTTGCAAAAAGCCCACACCATCCCGCAGAAATAGACAAAGAACGTGCCCATGACCATCGCCATGAGCGCGTAGGACTCGATCATGGCTTTGGTGATGGCGGACGTCATTTTTGGTGCGCAGGATCATTCAGTGGAGGAAGCGGTCAAAAGGGAGAGTCAGTACATTTGGCATCATCCTGGGGGAGGACCACTATCCTGCAGCACTGCTCAGTAACACTTTCAAACCCGCTTAAACACAAAGGAGGGCACCATTTCACAACTATCAACAACGTGTGGCAACTTCTGCAAAAGCCTCTCCATTTTTTAGACGTCTCTTTCTATGAATCAGACTTTTTGCTATCTCCAAGTGCTCTTAAGATATAGTTCTGCAAGTGTTTCTTTAGATTTTGCTTTGTTGTCCTATGTTCAGTCCAGTTCTTGTGGCTAGATAGTCTGAACACATGCACATGTTGAGTCCAAACCAGCTCTGTTGTGATGGAGAAACAATAACCCAGCATTCCGTGAAAACTCCACCTTCAGTAAAATGTGGTGGAGGTTCCAACATGTGCGCCTTGTGTTGGTAATCTTCTTAAAGTTAAAGGCTGCATGGAGTCCGGACAAAATATCAGAAAATTCTGATTCTTTTAAGAATCAGTCACAAAGTTGAAGCTATGCCAGGACTGGATATTTCAACAGGACTAGTTAAAACACTGCACATTCATGCAGAGAAACTGGCACGATGTTCTCCCTGTGTGGGTTCTCCAGGTTTGACCAAAAACATAAATTAGGTTAATTATTCTTTATTCACATTTTCAGGTCATTTGACAGTTGTTCTGAGTCCCCTAAGAAGACACTGTTTATAGGAGAGTGAGAGAGAAGAACAGCTTAAAACTGGCCACCTTAAACGCCCTCTCTGGTGATTGGATGGAGTGTCATATGGTAAATTGCTTTATGAGCCCAGCAAACCAATTTTGTATTGAATTATTCAACAATGGGGTAACGTGTTCACATTTTGAGATGTGTAAAGTTTGCAAAACCATGTGGATGAAAACCCTCATATTAGATGGTTTAAAAGGGTTCAAACCTACTTGAAACTGTGCAGTTAAAATGTAAACACCAACAAGCTCAACAGAATCAGCAACAGAGGCTGGAAGGATACAGGAAATAACATTCATGCAAATGACTAGTTTAGATTCTTATTATGTTGTTACTTTGTTTTCACTTTTATATACAGATATAGGTCAGGGTTTATCATCTTAAAGAAGGATTATATCCCAATTTTCACTTGTTTATCAAGTTCACATTTACAGTTGATTTTATGGCTTTGGGGTTACAGAAGTAATAAGACTTATTTTAGAGAAAAGTCGGTGTAGATTTAGTTTTTACTGAAATTTGAAAAGGCCTGTCTAAGTATCTTGAAACTGTCTTATCTTTAGTCTTCGCGTTGAATTCACTTAGCATGGTTTCTTATGAGAGATATTTGATGTAGCCTATACGTTTTGTTACTTTAAAGACAACCAGTTTAAAAAATAAGCCCAGCGTGGGTGTTTGTTCGGTTAAAACACGTTACATTCATGGGAATGGCACAGCAAGCTCGTGAAGCATCTTTCTTTACGAGTCTAAACAAGATAACAAAGTCTAAATGCGGGTGACCACGCTTTTCTTTACATTGGCTAGCATTGTCCATAATATGGAATTATGGGTAGTTGTGTTTTATATTCTTGCCTTAAAACGAATATGGTGGCCAGGCTTGTCGAAGAAAAACTACAACCCCCACTCGCGCGAAATCCGAGGTCCCGGATGTGACTCGCGCCGGAAGAGAAGAAGGTCCTTTCCCAGCCATCTTGTGGCTTCATCTAGCGAAGTGTTCGCACCAAGCCTCGTAGAATCGGAGGAAAATCCTGCTGAAGGGGCGCCATCATGCCCGGACAAATGCAAGAAGGTTTTGGCTGTGCCATAACCAATCGGTTCGACCAGTTATTTGACGACGAGTCGGATCCATTTGAGCTGCTTAAGCAGGCCGAAGTTAAGAAGAAGAAGGAGCCAGCTGCCCCTGGTGCCGCCAAGACTGCAGCCCAGGCTGCAAAGCAACCTAAAAAAGAGTCCCAAAAAGAAAGAAAGGTCCCTCTTTCTGATAAAAAGGAGGAGAGCCAGGCACCCGTTCCACTCAAGAAAGATGGTAAATAATTTTAAATTAGACTTTCTGTTGTCAAAAAACCAACTGGAAAAGTAGGCTAGCGGGCTAAGTTGCTTGCTCAACAGCTAGCGACGATCTCAAAGCACCGTGACATGAGGACCGCGTGGTTGAGTTTTCTGCCCGTTAGGAATGACATTTTCCGAAACAATTTATTTTCTACAGAAGCGAATCGCAGTGGGGCTCGTGAGATTTATTCTAGACTGGGCAGACTAGTGGGAGGGGGGTAATTTGTTTTGGCGTGCACCCTTCGTGGGCCCGGTGGAGCAGCAGCACCCGAAAGCCTAGCTAGCTGGAGGACGTCGCCTACATACTCGAGTGCAGACGTTAGCCTGCGCCCTCATACGTCTTTAACGCGAAACCACCTGTCTATTTGCCCCAGTTAAACTTTAAAAAGTTACTGGAAAAATACACTGCCACGTGATGGTGAGGCCTTTAAAAAGTTAACGCTAATTACCTATTTACGTTCTAAATAAGGCGTCGACGTTAACCGAAAGGGCAGATTGAGCCGGTCGGGTCTAATTGCTGGATTCTTCCTCAGCCAATTGTCGCTGCACGGCTCGTGGTGTTCAACCTCGTGGCCGGCGTGTGGGGCGTGTGAAGGCACATCCTCCACTTGGCGCACAGCACACCCAGCACGCCATTACGGGCCTGGGTGTTTACTCACCAAATGTCAGAGGCTGTCAGTGCTTATTTGAATACGAAGCACGTGGCTCTCAAATCGCCTGTACACATCTCTCACATTTCCATTGCTCGAGCGCACCTTGGCTTAGGTTTAGGCGGCCGGCCTCGGGACTTGGATGAGATTGGGGGGGGGGTGGGTAGCTTTTTAGCTCTCGTCGTGCCAGACTATCGAGGGGGCTCATATCTGTGTGGCTGCAGAAAAAAAGGGGACAGGTGCTCAGACTGGTGCCGCCAGCTGCTGCTGTGTAGCTCTGGAGGTCTATTTCGGTATCCGGTGGTTTAGTCAATGGGTGGGGGACGTGTTGTGTCACACTGGGCCCGGTGGCAGTTAGCCATGTGCCCTGGAGGCTGAAACACTGGCCTGGCCCGGTGTTAATCCTAGTTTAACAGATTAGTCTAGTTTCCAGTTACTAGTAAATTTTAAATCAGTTTATTGAATGATTAATTCAGCGGGGAGTTTCTGATATTCTGTATTGAGTTACCAGACTGGTGGCCTTTGTCTTTTCACATGAATCGGAATTACTTGCTCCACTTAAACGGAACAATCATCTTTGTTTCTCTTTTTCCCGACTCAGCAGAGGGTCCTGATCTGCGTGTGATGCCGTTCCTTAATTCTCCTGTTGTGGTCAATCCTAGGTGCTGGCATGAGGAGAATGGGCCGGAAGCCTGAGGGTGAAGGCCCCAGACCTCAGGGTGGTCAGGGAGAAGGACGCCCTCCTGCAGACAGACGGCCTGTGGACAGGCGGCCACCTCGCCGCTTCGAGAGGCCTGCCGGTGAAGCTGGAGACAAGCCCGAAGGGGGCGAGTTCTCAGTGGAGAAGTAAGTTTAATTTCCTTTTAGACATTTCAACTCAAAGCAGCCAAGTAGGAGAACTTCATAAGCCTGCCAGTATTGTACATATGTATTATTTTTTTGGAGAATGTAAACCAAAACCAGATGTAGGAAAAGAAAGCAAATTATATTTTATATTACTCAAAAAGCACCTCCGGTGTTTGCTGGAGTTCAGTTTATCAGCATAAATATTGTTTGTAGTTTCTTTCTGCATCAAAGTGGCCCCAAAAAGTTGGTGCAGGAGCTTTTCCATATGAAGTCCTCGTGTCTTCATGTGGGGAAACGATAAACTTCCCTTAACTGTTCTTTGATTGCGTCTCTCCACAGGCCCGTCTACGATAGGCCCATGAGGGGGCGCGGTGGCGCCCGGGGGGGCCGTGGAGGCAGAGGGCGCGGCATGGGTCGCAGCGATGGCTTCGACTCCAGAGGAAAACGGGAATTCGACCGACACAGCGGCAGCGACAAATCGTAAGCGATTCGGGGCACGCGTGCAAACGGAGTCTGTATGGTCACGTGTTGTCAAAACCCTGATGCAGTCCACATGCTATGATCATGGCTAAAGCAAATGTTGTTTCAGTAGTCTGAAAGGTGAAGAGAAACGAGGCGGAAGTGGATCTCACAACTGGGGCACCGTGAAGGATGAACTGAAGTGAGTATTTGAATACGTTAGAAAGGCGTTGTTAAGCATGGCGGTAACAAAAGGCCAATCCGTTCAAAACGCCGGCTGCGGATGCAAATTGACCATTTTGTTTCCTTTCAGTGAGCTCGACCAATCTAACGTCACTGAGGAAAACCCAGAAGGAGAGGAGCATCCACCTGCTGACTCTGAGAACAAGTGAGTTCTTGCTGATGTCTAACAGATCCTAACCTGTTGTAGAAATAGGTGCTTGTGTTGAGAAATGCTGCTGTCGACATTCACATTGGGTGGTGTGTGTTGAAGGGAGAATGAGGCTGAGGAGGTGAAGGAAGAAGGCCCAAAGGAAATGACTCTGGATGAGTGGAAGGCCATGCAGGACAAGGAACGGGCTAAGGTCGAATTCAACATCCGCAAAGCCAACGAGGGCGCCGACTGGAACAAGGGATTTGTGCTCCACAAGTCCAAGGCTGAAGCGAGTGTAAGTGGATCATCTCGTGTCTCGGAGCAGGTCGTTGGCAGTGTGGAGACGGAGAAAGAGCAAGCCGAGCTTGTCACCGTTTCGTTCCTGAACGTTGCTCACCGCCGTTCCTGCATGTTAAAGCTTGTTTTAACCACAAGACTTTCAACCTCTCTGTAACAATCACTATTTCTCTATTGATGATGTAAACTTCCCCACACAGGATAAGAAAGGTGAACTGATTGATCCTGAGATTGAGGAACCCAAGGTAAGATCCTGACCTTTGGTCGTCAAAAGGCAAAGCGTTTAAACTACACCAGACCACAATCATTTCTTTTTTTGTTTTCCTGTTCTTCAGTTAGAGGATGAGCCTCACTTCCGGAAGCCAGCCAATGACATCACAACTCAGCTGGAGATAAACTTTGGGGATTTGGGCCGTCCAGGCCGTGGACGCGGAGGCCCTCGCGGCGGCCGGGGGGGCCGTGGTCGAGGGGAAGCCCCGAGGCCGACCCGCGGAGGACGGACTGACCGGGTGGTGAGTCTGTCCCCTCTCGGCTGTGGGGGGGGGGTTCTGTGTACGCTCTCCGCTAACAGCCTGTGGTTGTGTGTCCCTTCCAGTCATCTGCGTCTGTGCCAAACGTGGACGACCCCGAGGCCTTCCCCGCCCTGGCTTAAGCCGAGCCCTCAGGCCTACAGGAGCCTCCTGAGCACCTCCACTACGAGGCTTGCATGTTCCTGGATCCTTCAGCAAAGTGAAACGATGGAGAAGACTGTCATAACTGGCACTCGACGTGAGGACTGAGTTTTACCCAATAAAAACAAAACATGATGGAAAAAAAATGTCAAAAAAAATACTACAAAAAAAAGAAAAGGACTTCTTGCTACTTCGGAGCAACTTATTGGTAGAGGTTTTTCTATTTGGAATCAAAGTAGCAGGGATGTTTTCATACAGTATTTTTTTCAGAGGTTATGCATTGTCCATTGAAAAAAGTTTTGTAATTGCTGCTTGAAAATACGCGTTTTGAAACGTTTAGCATCGAGCATCTTTTAGCGTGGTGTGTGCCGACGCTTGCCCGCTTCGGAGCTTCCAGCCAAGCCCGGAAGCTCTGCCACACCCGGAGTTTCAGATGAAGTTACAGCTTCACTCATTGAGATTTAAGTATTTTTGTTTTCTTTTGTTTTTTTTCCTCTTTAAATTCGCACTGGGTTATTTTATATTTTATACAGGAGGTCTATTCTTGTATGATCTTCAGCCTGTAAATCCTATTTTCATAAATTCTTTCAGAGACTGTATTTCACATGGTGCAAAAAGACGCTGATCTTCGATCGAGACATGCTGCCTACATTAGAACGCGTAGATGAGATGGCACATAAATCTGACCTTAAGGTTATTTTGTATTGAGATGTTTTAAAAGAGCAACACTTGGTCATTTTGGATGAACACGCCGATGTTAACTGAAACAAACTGAACTATTCGTCAGGTTTATTGATAAGCTGAAAAGAAGTTTTCATATGTTCTGAATTAATTTTTTTCATATTGGGGGTGATATTCATCCAACGTTTCTTCCTCTGAGCCCATTTCATCTCGAGTCATAAGCCATGTGCAAGTCAGTTACTGCCTTTCTTTTCACTTCGGCTTGATGAGGAGAGGACGCGTTTTTCCACCGCTGAGATGTGGCTGGGGACCCCGGGAAGCTCTCAGCCCCTCTCCCACCGTTTCCACACTCCAATCCAGCATCCTGCAGATGTAAACTCAGCCCGGCTTCAGTTTGTGCCAGCAGTCTGTTCTGTGCTGACCTTCTCCTCCACTGTTGACCTGCTCTGTAGCTTCCACAGTGGCACCACTGCATAATTGCTCTGAAAGAAATACAGTTGTCCATTGTGTGGAACAGCTGAAGTGCTCTACAAATGTGTGAATTCCAGCCCTGCTATTAGACCTCTGTCGGTAAATAAAGGTGGTCGACAAATTTTTTTGCACTGTAACCTTGTTTTTCTTTGTTTTGACCAGATCAGAACACATTCCCATTGACAACTAAATATTACTATAGATTCTCAGATGAAGTTTTGTACCATTTTGAAGGCCAATAGCAAGAATCCAGGAATATACATGCATGCCCCTCCTACATTTATTAACTTTTTGGATTATAGGATCATTTGAAAGGGTACTTAAATAAAATGCAAACTGTTGTAGAACGGCTCTCTTAGTCTTTAAAAAGCAAATTCATTTGAAAACATTTGGGATGCTGAACCATCTCCCCCTGTCACTCGGACTTTGGAATGAATTTAAGGCTTTTATTCGAGCCACTGGTGGATGTTGTCCACAGGACGATGAACGGTTTCACTGGACCAGGCTGTGTGAGGTTCTAACCTAAGTGTATGAGGTGGCATTAAATCAGGAGTGGGACACTGGATTAAATCTGAATGAGATGGATAAAGCAGGGAAACCTTAAAAGGCACATCCACATCCAGCTGTATATATATCAAATTACCCTTTTGTGAGGGTTCTTTAAAAAGATTAAAATCAAAATCTAAAGATTAAATCACTAACATGCATTGTTGTAATCAAAGAAACTCATCTATACCTTCTTTTTGTTTTGTTTTTTCCCCTTCTAAAACTGGAAAATCCTGTCTGGAGACACCACCCACCTGAACCCTTGATGAAAGAGCGGTTCTGGTGAATGTGATGCGTCATCCCGGAGCCGGGAAAGCTCACAGAGACTTATCAGAGAAATGTCCAACATTTGGGGGGTGGGTTGAATAGTTATGCATGCTTTCTGTTTTAGTTTTATTGCATGCTTCTTTGTGCCGAACTGCGAGGCTAAAATGGTGACGCTGCATTCAAATGAGCTCTGACAGATAAGTGCAGGCCTGGACCCGCCCGCTCACGGATGGCCTGGATCCACTCACGGCCTTTCCAGCACCGCATTCACGCAGAGAACCGTCTGTTCTGTCACAATCCGAATGGGAATTTGATTCAGATGTGGAGGCTTTAAAATTCGGTGAAAGGCCCCCCCGTGCTGGGAAACAATGGTCAGCCAGCCTGTTGTCTCTCTGACTGCTGTGGACTGGTGATGAAAGGCCACCCACAGAATGGTCCCTCCACCATCACGGGGGTTTCCGGCCTGGCCTGAAATGACCCGGGGTCAGCGGGCAGGGATCCACTCTGTTGACACAAACTCTGGCCGACCACTGCCGGACCCCACCGGCCCGGGCACGGGTCCAACCGGTTCGGACTGACCTGCGCCTTTAAACCCAACGAGCTGGAGACACTCTTTCTGTGGCCCCTTCACCAGCCTGGACTTTCCCCTTTGACATCCATCGCAAACAAAGAATTTTTTTTGCACTGTTTTGTGAAAACTGATACAGATTTGCAGAATATTCCATTTAGGCTTAGACCAGACTCATTCCCAGCAACCAACACGCCTCGGTCCAATTGTTTTCAAATGTTTGGACGGAAGAAGTCCTGATTGGACATTCACCAATTCAACATACAGGATATGATGCAGTGGGCATTAAAAATCAAGATTTATTTTCTTTTTAAAGAGGCAATCTGAATATAAATATGATCTCTTTCATTTTCTGCTGATTGTATTAAATCTCCAACAGATTCAGAGCTTTGGCACAGGCCGACCTCCACACCTTCATCATGTCATGTTTCTGTTCATTCTGTTTTATTGACATCGCAAAGCACCTTTAGGTTTATAGCAGAGCTAACAGCACGTCTGTTTAATAAAAAGATATAAAATATGGCAAGGAATTCCTGTCAGGGAAACATTCTTGTTGTTTTCAGGTGAGTTAGGCTGAGGTAGAACGAAAGCACGGCCGTTCACAGACAGCAGAGTCAAAAAATGCTTTGGAAAAAGGCTTTTTGGAGAGAGGACGGAGGATATACGAGGATGTGGGAGCGGAGGACAATAACAAACGCGATGATGACCGATGGGGACATCCATGGCGAGTCGGGTATTTTTTTTTTTTTTTTTTCCAAAGACGAGGCCGTACTCAGATCCCAGCCTGCGCGTTCCGGTCAGAGTTAGTGTGTTTGTGATGAAAGCAGTCGTAATGCACGGCATTGCTTCTGGACCACTGAGGCCTACAGACTTCAGCCAGACCTTTCCCGGTACGGATCTGGTTCCGAAAAGCAAGGAGGTAGTTCATGCATGATTGAAAAAAAAACCAAAAAGAACAAAAAAAAAAAAGAAAACGACAACAATAAAAAAGACAACATTGTTTCTGCTCAGCTCTCCGCCGACAGTCCCTCTAAGCGCTCCCACAGAAGTCAGCGCAGTCAATCCTGACCGCGTCCAGGGTCAGCTTCCCCCCCAGCTCCAGGGGCTCCAAAAAGACGTTGTGGCTGGGGAAGAAATCCAGGGCCGCAAAGTCCTCGTCCTCGTCCTCGTCCCCGTCGTCCGCCAGGCCCGGCCCGTGCGAGGAGATGTAGTCCACGGTGGTGTCCAGCGAGGAGTGCGTGTGGTCGGTGCTGTCCGAGTCGTGGGAGAAGCTCTTGATGTAGGCGGTCAGCGCCGGGTACAGCTCCGTCTCCGGGCCGGGGCCGGCCGGGGGGAGGAGCTGCTGCGCGAACAGCTCCTCCACGTCCACCAGGAGGGTCTCCTCCTCCTTATCGGTGAGAGTGGAGTTACCGGACGGCAGCTGGAGGTTCATCTGACCCTATTGGAAAGGGAGGGAGGGCTTAACTTTTTCACATACAAAACACAACTGAAAGACAGTTTCAAATCCTTGTCCGGGTTCGACTACCTTCTCTCTGGTACACTCTTTGGCCCATTTGCTGTTTGCAGGGTCCGGCACGACATCCAGCATCAGGTACTTCAGAATTCCCCAGAATCTGAAGGAGGAACGAGCAAAACTACTGAGCAGGGCTGCGTGGAGTTTTTTTAATTTTTTTAATTGTGGTTAAAAGCTGGCCCGTGTAAATCCCTCTAGACTCTGCTGTTGACGCCCTACCTGTGCTTGAGAGTTGATCTCTGGCACAGACACAGGATGAAGAGCAGCATCACGGCTGCCACGGCGTACAGGAGGGAGAAGGACAGCTGGCTGTCCTCTGCAACAGTTAAAAAAAACACACATTCCACTCTTTAGATTTTAGACTCGATAGTAATGAAAAAGTCAACATGGCCACAGTGTATAAAACAAATCTGAAAAGAAAAAAAAAGGATTTCAAATGTCCTTTTTTTAAAGTGAGAAACTGGAAATGTGAAACTTTTTTAAGGCCGTGTAAAATGTTGCCTGCCTTTTTTCTGCATTTTAAATGCAATCTAAGCTTTACTGACACGTTTCTAATGGCACAGCTTGAAATTCACTTATTCTCCTTTCACTGATTTTCACAGAAGTGTGAGAAGGGCCTTCCAAAAAGACGTTCAGAGTTGGTTAGACACTGAAGGTGTTGTGCTGTGGGGCTAGTTTCTGAAAACCTTTGACAAAAAATGAAAAAAAAGAGTCGTGTAACCAGTTGTTTTGCAGGTTGCAACATGTACGACTTACAAAGCCTACTTTCATGCACAGGATATGACTGATATAAATCTTTCTGACAATGCAAAGGTGATAGGTTTTATTCAGCTAATGCAATATGCCGTTTTTGTGTTTTCATAATCCCTGTGTAGACTCAGATTATGAATGACCATTTCTTTTTATTTTCCTTTAGGTGCAGAAGTGATTTTATAAATACTAGAAATGCTTTTAAAAGAACAAGTAGCAGTTTCATAGGTAATTATAGGCATGATTACTTTGGAAACAGCAGCCAGTAAAGCAGAAGAAAAAAAAAAATTGGTATTTCCTCTACGGTGTCATTCATCTTCCACGAAAAGAAAGAAAAACCTGAAAAGCAGTTTACCAGAGATGAAGAACTTGATCTTTTGACCCGGCGGGCCTTTCCCTTTTGCAGTTGAGGCCCTAATCCACAGAGTGTAGACAGATGGAGCCAGATCTTTGATCACATACATCCTGTCTGTTGCTTGGATGACATCTAAAGACATGTTGGCACACAGAGGAGAGGAGTTAGTGTCCACATAAAGAGGAATTTACTAGTCTACAAGCTTAAAAACAACATGCATATGTCAACTCAGGAGAGGGAAATCAAAATGAAGGTAATTTACACAATTTCCCGATTAAGTATTTATTCCCCAAGCACTTAATTTGTAATCGCAATTTTTACGCTGTATTTTTTGGCAAACATATCAAAGCAGCCACTAGACATTTAATAACGAGCAGTTAACTGACACCTTGACGCGGTCAGATAGGGAGTAAACAGCAGTGCCAGCTCTGAGCTGCTGAGCTCTGGCACCACAGTGGTGAACCGAGCCGATCCCACATCCTCTGAACACGACAAAACAACATTTGTGTTTATACACTTCAGAGAAAATCTCACCAATGTGCCTTCCAAATACGGGGCCTGTGCAAACTCAAAGACAGGACTATTTTTCACTAAACCTAATTCCTATCCCTAATTCTTAGACAGGTTCTGCAAGCTCTTAAAACGGCTCTCACAAATCTTCCTCTTCCCCCTGCTGTCCTCCTGATAGATGGTGTAATTGGTGATGCAACCCCCACGCTGGCCCCTGGGGAGCTCCCTCCAGGTGATGACGACACTTTTTCCCTCCACCCTTTCCAGAACGGACGGACCGGTTTTTGGAGCTGAAATCAATACATGTAAAAAACCATTGACAATGAGTGGTTGAATTATTTAAAAGCCTTAAATAAATCTGGCAATGCTAATGCTACCCTGATGGGGAGCATCTTCAGGACCCTACCTGACTCCATGGTGGCGGCTCGCTTAAATCCGGTCCTACTCACTGAGCTCTCATTATAGAACACATACACGGCCCCTTCATAGCACTCACTGGGCTTAATATCTGCAGAAAGAAACAAACCGAAGAGAACAGACACGCGTTATCCGAACAGAGAAGGAGACAGGTGACCGGCTAGCCGTTCGTGGCTGAGACGCAGCAACTTTGTACCTGTGATGACCGTTTTACGTTTGTTCTGGTCCAGCCTGAGCCACCGGAGCTCCTCCAGCATGCGGCCCTCGGGGTACCACTCCAGCACGTACATGCTGGGTGCAGTTTCAGGTTTTCTCCAGGAGATGGTGATAGACTTGCTGCCCGCCCTCGTTTGCACATCCTGAAGGGGCGTGGCTGAAAAAGGGACGAAGTCAGTGTTAGGAGTACTATTCCAGCATCTTTCGGGCTGAAGAAAAAAAGGACTCAGAAGCAGAGAGGTTTTGAATCAGTTGGTGGACTATGGCGTGAGTGGGGGCAACAAAAATCCATTTTCTAAAACACTTATTCCAAGGCCTTTGGTACACCCTGGGCCACAGACAAGGCCTTGTGTTTTCTAAAGTATCTTTGTCTTTATCTTCATTTTTCTTTTTTTCGTTTTACCTTTTGTGCGACGGGTTTTGACGGTGGCGGGAGGCGACAGGCCTTTGGAGTTGCTCGCCCACACCGTCACCTCACAGTCAGAGCAGAGTGGGACTGAGTGGCTGCTGACATCAGCGCTGACATTAGCGACTACAGCCCGGCTGACATCATGCACTCTCAATATGTACTCTGTGATCCTCCCACTGGGGACAAACACACTGGCCTCCTGAAATCAGATTCAACGAACATTTTTCAGAAAATAATACCGGGATAGCAAATAATGTCGGTGGACCACACGACCTAAAAATGCATATGGTGATCACACATCAACCGAACTGCGAGATGAGTGTGTGAGACACATCATTTCTGTTCAGCTCCTCTTTTTCTTGTAAACTGAAACTGTTGCATCTGCCGTCGGGTTTCACTTACCTCTCGAACTGTGTGTGACATTAAATGCACATAAGTGTTTGAGTGTGAGTGTGTGTGTATGTGTGTGTTGGTGGTGGACGGACGGAAACGCACGGCTGTGTGCGCCCCTGAGGATGTCACACATCAGAAGTGGTCAAAGGTTGACATTTACTCTGTGCAGAACAAAGTAGTGCTCAGATATCACCAAGTGTTACTATGGCTCCATGACCACACACACACACACACACACACACACACACACGCGCACACACACACGGCAAAGTGCAGCAGGAGGAACGGAAACCCCTGGAGACCTGAGAGTGCCCCGACCCGCACATCTACACCATCACAGTGAAAGGTGGTGTGCATTTAAAGGTTAAACAAACAGATGTGTCAATCTCTTGGCATTAACATTAATTCTGACCTACAATGCGAAAAAGCCCCCAAAAATCACAACCCCCCCCGCCTCTTAAATTCATAATTTCTTCTCCCTAAGATAGCCTGAAGAAGAATAAAGTTAAGACCTGATCATTTACAGAGTCCCAGTATTGCTTGCTTGCAACATGCAACATGCAAGGTTGATCAAAATGGTCAAGCAAAAAACTAAAAGCTAAGTTTTAGATATTATTTCTGCTTGTAGGTAGTTAGGGTGCAACATTATGGAAAACATTTAATCATTTTATTTTCCCTTCATCACTTTATTAACCCCTCCTAAATTCCTGTGATGTTTCTTGGCATTTTCAAGCTTAAATAAAGTCAATTTTACACGGCTAACAAACATTTGCATCCTTTTTAATAACGGCCCCCTCCCCATCAGAAGCATTCGGTTGGTTTGATCTTCAAATCGTACCTTCCAGTAGATTCTCATGGATTTAGAGTCAGATGCGGAGGCGACCCACACGTCCAGCGCCTGGGACGGAGCTTAAGCACAAAAAACAACAACAAACAGGTGTTTTAGTACTCGTGTCTGCAGAAATGAGAGCCTCTTAACAAAGTCTGCCATGAAAACAGGTGAGTCTTTGCTAGTTTCTCTCTTTCACATTTACAAGAAATGAATATATGCGTTGAAACTGATGTGTGAGAGAGAAGCGTAACGTGCAAAAAGAGGAAGAAATATCGCAGTGACACACGTGTGACAGTACTTAATGTCAGACTAAAAACCGGTCGCTCCTTTCTGAGCTTCATATACGAAATAAGGGAAGGTGTTTTTTGCTTATTTGCCAGGAGCGCCATGACAACAGTCCACGTGTGACTCATAAAAACCACAACAACTCATTAAAGAGGACATATTGTGTGATTCAGAGAATTGATCTTTTTCTTCAGTCTTTTCTATATAAGTATATATTTTTTAATGTCAAAATATTATAGAAAATTCATAAAAATTAATTAATTTGAACTCACTTTAAAACACAAATCAATTGATTAAAATATCCCAAAGGTATTTCCGCCCCTTCGCTTCACGACAGCTTCACAGTGTAAAAAAATCCACTCCACTTGGTATTATCTGGAATGTGTGTTGCGTAAATGTGCCTTTGAATGTGGTCTGCTGTATAAAAGCATGTGGAGAGGTCTAGAACTCTAGAGAAGCCAAATTTAGATCAATACAGCGTCACGGTGCGGTGAAGCACAACCTCTTTGGCATGCATGTGTGCTTATCTGTTACACGTGCCATAACAACTTCTGCATCTTACCAAATGTAACCAAATTTAAGCCAACATATAATAAGCCTCCAAATTTCCTAGCGCTTCCACGTTCATGCAATGTGCCGGTTATCTGTATGCCACAAATAAAAAAGCACCTGTCGTTTATTCCAGAATCCTTCAAGTCGGCTACATTTGCTGTGCAGGATGGGTCTATTGTCTCTAGGCTCATTAGTGCAATCAATGTGTTTGCAAACCTTGAAATTAAGAAATCTTAAAGAGCATTGCAAAAAAAAAAAAGGGTTTAAGCCTTCTCAGCTCTTTGGCCTGTTGCTATTTGCCGTAAGTGGAAAGTGTTGATCTGTCACAGCTGCACATTCATAGCGTACATATGTGAAACGATGGGCCTATCTTCACACCATCAGTTGATAAATGTGCAGCAGCATTTCTCATGAAGAACTACTTTCCTCTCAGTTACCTTTTGCTGACCTTGCGTAAACTTGAACTCGTTGAAAAGCATGTTTAGAAGCAAAAGAATGAACAAAAGAATGAACAAATATCTTCTTATCGGTACTAACTGGTTTTGAATTCAACAAATGACGATACAGTATGCGTTTCAGTGGCTTGTAGACATCATTGTGTCTCTCAGTGGTGAGCTGATAGCTGTCTCAAAAACCCAGAGGGAAGGAAACACCATCCGATAGATTAAGTGATAGTGAACCACACAGGTTTGCCCACATTCGAAATGAGGGACATCTCACCATGTAACATTTCATAGGAGCAGAGGCAGGAACAGCTGTTGGTGGAACCATGACTAGCTCACCTTCATCTTCAGTCCTGCCAGAAATGTTGGAGCTCCACGGACTCCAGAGGCCCGTGCTGAATTTGGACCTGGCTCGGAAATAATACAGCCTGTTGGGCTCCAGACAGGGGATGGACCAGGCCTGGGAAGAATTAATCTCCACAATCTGTAGGACGGTAACACACGTGCATGTTTTTCTGGGACTTTATCTTCTATCGAAAAGTAACATCAAAAGTAGGACACGAAGCTTCTGATAAAGAGATAATAATGAGGATATGGTAGCGACATATGAGAGATCACGGCTCAGCTTGGTGCAGACATCTGAGTATCTTTATGAATCTGTGTTTTCACAGGACTGTAACACCTCTCCCTCCAGCTCTGAATCAGCAGAGGCTCCGTTAGAGCTCAGAACCTGAAGATCTTTGCAGATTTTGACTCTGGATATACAAGTTAAACATCTCACTGGAAGCTTTTCCGGGTCCGAACGTCTGGAACTTCTTACCGGGTCCAGACAGGACTCCCACTGATTCAGCTGCCCAGCGGCGTGCTGCACCTCCAGGTACTGAATCCTCACAGACTGCTCCACCCTGAGGGTGCACCTCCTGGAAGAGCACTCAGGCTGAAGTAGGACGGGCGTCGACGGCATCACTGGTCGGATTAACGAACCAAAACGGGCAAAAGCTCAAAGACAAGGAACAGACCATTCATGCATCGTAACAGTGACTTTTGAGAGGTGGGCGGAGGCTCATAAGGGCGCGATCTGATACCAAAACAACACTTTCACGAATGAGCGCTGCCACACCTTAAAAGTGTCAGTACAGTACATATAAGTTAAATTTAGAAAGGAGAAGCCACCAACCGATGTCACTGAGGGTGTAGTTGATTACGGGGGATTCAGCAGAGCCCAGGGCATTCTGGGACTGAACCCACACCGAGATGAGTCGGGCAGACGCGGGCACGCTGAAAGTAAAGGACGGCGATTTGGTTCCTCTGCCGGACTCTCTGAACAGCGCTGGCCCTTCGGAGTGGTTTCCAGTCACAGTGATCACCCTAAAACCCACAAACGTCCGGGGAGGTTTAAATCTGGTGCTCTTCAGCGTGACTCTTTGGATTGGTCGAGGAAAGACACAGGGCGGAGACTCACCGCAGTTCAAAACTATTCCAAAGATGGGAGTCCCGTCCACTGTTCCAAGTGCAGACCACATCTCCACGCTCATTTTGTGACAGTTTGTAGATACATGAGATGTTATTTGGCCGATCCGGTGGGTCTGCACACCAAAGAAGACAAAGAAACATCAAACAAAATCTGAAAGCTTAAACAAAACATTTCTCTAAATGTTTCTCTATATGTATATACATACAGTGACACAATTGGAACTTGGCTCTATTCTAAAACTGAAGTAAAAGTGAGTGATAATCTAATGGATAATTCAATCATTTTCAGTGTTTGAGGAACTTTCATGTTGCACGTCTCAAAAAACAGGCACGCCTCTTTGGTCAGAATAGAAAACTTGCCACTGTTAGCTGTGAAAAGTTCACTAGGTTAAGAAGGAAAAGCAGAACCAATGATGCCTCTTTCAGCAGCTCTAAGTAAGAAAATAATTCCGCCCATAAACAACAATATCCTGTCCTGTGCCGTGAAGCATCTAGAAGATCTCTCTGAAATCTTACGTAAGTTGCAAAGAGAAATAAAATGAAGTCATGTGATCCACAATAAAGCTTCTGTCTTAGGATGAACTAATGCTGCACGGATACTTACACAATAAAAGGCTTGCTGGGATCTAATCTTAAATAAATCTGCATAAAATCTATCAAAACAGGGAGAAATGGCCCTTTTCTGCCCACTTACATCCAGCTAAGATGTCCAGTCCGCAGGGATCCCGTACAGGAGGAGATTTACACCGACAGCTGTACGTTCTTTTCTCTGTAATGTTGGTCACTTTAAGGTTTATGGTGGTGGAATTAAACCGACGGGGCCTCTCTGGGGTGAGGTTGTTGCCGAGGTACATGGAGCCCTGGCCCTTGCAGCTGAAGGTGCAGAACACCTCGAAACTGGAACCCAGCTGCACCACGGATCCAGCGCTGGACCAGAAGACGCAGGCCGTCTCACCTGCAGGCACAGGTGTCAGTTCTTCACAAACTATGCACTTTAGAAAATGTTAAAGCTTTGGATTATCTTAAAAGCCCTCTTTCTTTTATAGATTTTCTTTTTATAAACAAGGGGAGAGTCAGACCAGAACCAGAAGAAACTCCAGGAATGATATTTGTGTAATATTTCATTATGTTATTGGATGTTGTTCAATATTTTCCTTGCTTTTTCGGAAGAAAGATAAACTAAAGTAAATGAAAAATATTGAAGCTTACTTATTTATTCATTTATTTATGTTTTATCAGAGCTTACCAGCGCAGAGCTCCACGGCCAGCACGACAGCAGCGATGACAAGGAACCATGACAGGATCATTGTCGCCATGAGTGACTAAAGACTGCAGATGCTTTCTTATAATGCTGACGAGGCAGCTTTCTGCTTAAAACAGGCCCAACAAAAACAAACAAACAAACAAACAAACAAACAAACAAACAAACAAACAAACAAACAAAGCAACAAAAAAAATCCCGATTACTCCCATGACACAGTTATTAAGTTATTCAGAACTTCAGTTTTCAGAATCATGCGGTACTTTTGGGTTAAATCTAACTGCATAACCAGTATATTTCTGACACGTGAATTGGTAACCCCGCATTTTTGGGCAGATCTATAAACACGATGCCAGACGGCTCACCTGGAATGCGCAAAACTGGAAAGATAAAAACCCCCGACCTACCAAAGCGTCTCATCCCCAGCTCCGCATCAGCCTTAAACCCCCGTCCGGAACGGCTGGAGGGTCAGTTGTCGCAGCATCTGGTTGTAAAGAACCTCCATCTGAAGCGGTGCGTCCACACCGTGGAGAGCTGCGCGCGCTCCCTTGGGTGAAACACTTTCAGCAACGACAGCGCGCGTGTGACGCCACGCTCAGACCCCCCCACACACACACACACACACAGACACACAAACACAGGCTTCCCTGACTCTGCCCACTCCCAGAGCTCTGCTCAGTACTCATTTCCCTGCAATGCTCTTTAATAAACACCTTTACGCAATTTTATACCCTCACATAGAACTTATTGGGCAGCAGTGCTATTAAGGATTTCATAAAAATCCTAATTTTTAAGATATAAATCCAACATGGGGGTTGGTTTGAAATGTAATGTAAGTTCTTTGCTATATGCACAAGGGATTATTTAAGAATCCTTCACAGAAGAAGTGTGCTCTGACTGGCTGATGAGGAATCTCTACTGTGTTTAGACAATGGAGAAGAGTTCTAGCATCTAAAAATATGTCACAAAACAAACATTCAGATGAATTCTAGTCCTCACATTTTCCACACATGCTTGTAGCTCCCTCACTGATGTGCTGTGAGTGTGGGGCTTTCCCCGTACCAAGCCACGCCACATTCCTACAGCTACAGACTTCGGCTCACTGAAAAGCAACATCGGCTCAAATGTAAAAAAGCCGAGTCTTTCAAAGAACAAGTCCATCTCTCCGTTGAAGGAGGGACCCTCCTGAAATTTTGATGATCAAGAAGGAAGTGAGAGAGCTCTCAGGAAGTGCCGAAAAAACGGCGTTGAGCTGCAGGTGGTGTGTGTCTATGTGGGACTGAGGGCTCAGAGCATGCTGTACTGACGCTGAACCAGTGGCTGTGACTGGGAAAGCCCCGAACCCGGCTGTGCTTCAGAACAGAACAGAGTCAGCCCTCTGAACTGCTCACAAAACACAGGGACGTGAAAAACCTGCAAGGGTCAGAAATGATGGAAACGATGCAAAACAGATGTTTTCACAACTGTAACACCTGCCAAATGAGACACTTATAAAACATAACCGTGTAATGAACTGATCACATAGCAGTTTGTTACTCATCCCAGCTAGTTTTAGCAATCAGACTACAAAATCTCCGCTTATCAAGCCTGCATTGTGAACCTGCTACATCATTCATCATATCTGATTTTATTCAGGTTGAGGTCCAGATTCTGTGGAGGCCATACCAATCGTCCATTATCCAATTACATCTGAGCGATAAAGAAGAGGCATTTTGTGCCTGTTTATCACAACCAGCGGAGTCATCATCCAAATATTTCCATGGCCTAAGAGTTAATCGATGATTTTATGACAGTCCACAGATAAGAGAAGTAACTACATTCATTTTCCTTTTATTCACAATGAAAAAATAAAACAGGAACGGAGATCAGAGGAATCACGCAGCAAACAAGTTTTGACTTACAGAGACTCAAATCAGAACCTATTTCGTTCTGGAGATAATGTGTCTTTCTTTTGAAACATGATAGGATTTTTTTTCTCCTGTAAAAATGTAGACTTTGTAAAAGTCTACTTGTCTGCACTGGTCTGATGGAGTGAATTGTGCTGGTATCCCTCATCATCATTACGATCTGTTGCCATCGTAAAGGAAAAGCTGTTTGTTTGCGATAACACCTAAAATAAGAACTGAAATCCAAATGAAATGAAAAGAAGATGCCTAAGGTACAGAAACTAAACAGACGAAAGGATTGAGGCTGATGGACGAATGGACGAGTGAGGCCCTGAGAGGTGATTGTTGGCCACAGATTGTGCAATCGTGAACATCTGTGTGAGAGTCTCTGCACCCCAGATGTTGAACTTTGACTTGTGTATTTTACTGTATGTCTCCTGTTTTGCCAGCAAATCTGCTGTCAAGCTTCAAAATCCTGGTCCATTTATAGAAATATGAAGCATTTCTGCCCCCTCCCTCGCTGACACTTCAAATTTCTAAACCGTTGTAACACATACATTGTTACACATGTCACAGAACATGATATATAATAATAAGACACTTGAAATTGGACCACATATGATTCAAACAAAGGTACAAGCATGATAGTGGTGTTTTTTTAATAATGCTTTCATGACGTATTGATTAGTGCAGTGTGGGTCTCTTCCATGGTGGTGCTACCTCTGGTTGTCTGGCGTGGGAGCCCTGTAGGACGCTATCTGAGGGAAGTAACCCCCACTCTGCGTCGCCTCAAATCCACAGCGAGGTGAGCAAAAGTCATCTGCCTCAGGGGCGTTTTTACCGTCCTGCTCCAAGAGACAAGGAGGCTCCGGCCCGACGCCGTCCTCCGTCTCCCTCCTCTCCCTTAAGAAGACTTTATTCATCACCCGCGTTTCAGGGGTTTTAGACCAAAACAGGGAGCCGAGATTCAGCCCCCGAGACGAGTCGGAGAAATCCACGTTCACACTGGACAACAGGCCTCCCAGTAATCCGTCCAGAGCGCTGGAGCCCGCGTCCTCTTCGTCTGAGGCGTCCTCCTGGGCCTCCTCTTCGGCCTCCTCCTCGTCCAGGAGAACTGGCGTGGCGGTCTGGGGTTTGTAGCCGGCATCGTAAAGCATTCTTCTGGAAGTGGATGAAAGAAGATGCTCCCCTGTGGGACCTTCGGATCTGATCTCGGACACTTCGACGTGGAGGACGGGGTAAACTTCATCCCTCTCCTCCTGGGAAATCATAATGATTCTGGAGAGTGGGGGGTCACTATAAGTAGATGAGAACGACGGCTGGTATCGGTCTTCCTGGAAACAAGAGAAGAATAAAATAAAATCAGCAATGAAAAAAAACGTTGATATATTTTTGGAGAGATTTGAGATCTTTGGAGAGATGAAGGAAAGGATGAGTGTTGTGTTGTCACTGAAACAAAACAGCCCGATCCGTCAAAGTGAAAGCAGGCCAAACGCATGACATCACTTCCTTCTTTATAGTTTCAGGAGGTTTACTGGTGTCAACGGCCTGTGAAATGTTTTTGGCAGAATTCTCTGTTTTGCTGGTTTTGGTGCTGCGGGTCCAGCTGTACTTGGTCTGGTATTAACCGGAGGAATGTGAAGGTTAACAACAGCAGGCCTCATGTTCTTGCTTGGATTACCTTAAGTAGTTTTATGGCATTGCTCTGTCCTGGTTTTGGCACATTTCCTACAAGCCACGCCGGTCCCCTGGCTATGCATTTCTGTTTGATCCTGAAACAGAAAGACCAGCAGAATGTCAGCATTCCCCGTTGTGGAAATATAACTTAAAAAGAATTCAATTTGGTTTGCGGAAAAACGAATCTATTGAGGACCATGCAAAATGAGTCACACCACAGATAAAACCACCAAATTCATATTAGGGTCTGGGTTTCAGTTCATTGTAACTGAGTGGTTTTTGCTCTTCTGCATATTTAGTCGTGTATGCCATCTTCCAAAAAAAAAAAAAGCCAAATAAAAAACCCACAGCGGCCACCACGTCTTACTCAGAAAACGCAACTTACAAACATTCAAAATCAGTTAAAGGAGCCCGAAAAAAAACAAAAAACAGCCTTCTTGTCCTCAACATACACTTTCACTATTAGGCTTTGTGTCGCGTCTATCGGGATGACTGTTGCTTTCCACGGAACAATAATATTATGAAAATGACTGATGCTTATTAATACCTTTCCCTCACACAAGAACAGCGCAGCAGGTTGACCACAAAGACTGTGAAGATGAATATGACGATCGCTACCACGATCCCCTCACCAGCTGAAGGACAAAAGAAGAGAAATGTTTATTACTTTGGGAGATGTATTGATGAAATGCACGGAAATCAAAATCCCATCATTTAGATTGTGGTTTCTAGGTCTCAAAGCAAAAAAAAACAAAACAAAAATGATCCGTACCAGCAGGAAAAGTACCTCTATGAGCCTCAGGCCAGGAGGACACCCGGCTCCCCGGAGGCCCTTCTCCTGCAGAGTTGGACGCGGTCATCTGAATAGCCAGATGTCCGTTTGGACTCTTCAAAAGCATCTGTCTTGTGGCAGATGCAGAAACTGTTTTTGGAGAAAACAAGAAGGCAAAATTGACGCTTTGGCGATTTGTTGTCATTTAAGTATTTGAATATAAAGCACAATACTGATAAGAATGACACAGGCAGATGTATCAGGATTTGATGAAATGGAAAGGTCACAGTGGTGTGATGTATTTTTTCGGGGAAATTGTTGTAAACCGAATCTGGTGGGCTTTAGGGGGAAGGACCATCCAGTCCGTCTAGAATGTACAGAACTAGTCTTCCACAGGGGACGAACATTTTGCTGTCAAATAGCAGCATGCACACAACAAATGAGAAATGCACAGGCGGCTGTAGAACCAGGAAGTACCGGTGCAGCCCTGATGTGACACATCAGACAGAGCAGACTCATTGTCTCTCAGCTTGAGTTTCACCCAAATGTGGGTGTTCGAGTCTAATTCCTTCTCGTAGAAGCATTGAAGTTTATCACACCTGTGGTGAGGCAAAAGGTAGTGTACACCCAGGACATGTTGCCAGTCCATTACAGGGCCACCCAGAGTTAGACAGCACACCCCACTGCACACATTCACATCCAGGGACAGTTTAAGGTTACCTAACGTGTACGTTTTTAGGCTGTTTGAGGAATCTGAGCCATCCCCTGCTGAATGAGAAACTGCTTAAAACTAAAAAATCTGATGCAGACAAGACGGGGAAGGTACTCATTGTGTACTGACAAAGGCAAAGAGAAAGCTCCGTCAAACAAGTCTTTTGAACACCTTTTAGATTTCAGTTTGAAAGTGTCGTCAAAACGCTGACACCAGCGCGGCGGCTAAAGTTGTCAACAAGGCAAAAAGAGGAAGGTAAGTTCTCGGGTGCTCTCACACTTATGTTCCACAAATAGTGAACGAGGTAGCAGCGTTTTCGAACGTGTGTGCACGTCGCCACACGACTTCCTGTGTGTGGTCAGAGCCGGTTCTAGAAAAACCTTAAAGAACATGTGAAAACGATGACAAACCATGTTGAGCCTGTTCTCAACCCAGCAGAAATACTCGAACGTGCAGTCGGCCGGGGGGGGGGGGCAGAACACCCGGGATGTGGTTTCCGTTACATCAGAAAAACTAGCAGCTCCACTGCCATCTCGCCATGTTTTATCCATCCAATTCAATCCATGGATTCATGAGCGAACAATCGATCTGAGTTGATCAGTTGAATTTCACCACATTCCGGGAAGCCAGAGGCGAAAAACCCTGCTGATGCTCTGAAACTTTGAGGGAGGGGAGTGTGAGTGGAATCCTGCTCGCACGTTTTCCATCCTCTGACTGTGGCGTGCGTGCATGCACGCTGCTGCGCCGTGCATCGTTCACCGCATGTGTGCACACGCAGGTGTTTCAGGAAACCTTTGCCTGACCAAGGTAGAGTACAGTCACACAGCATTTAGTGAGGAGAGGGCCGCAAAGGGCAAGGCCCGTGATGAGCAAGAACAGGAAACTCACTGCTAAGTTGTATTTCCTCCCTTCAAATCTCCACCTGAAGTTATCATGACATTTTTTACAGAGATGAAGAAGCTCAACAGGTCTGAGTAACAAGCTGAGTAAGATGGATTTAAAGTTTTGTTTTCTCCCTTTACTAAGTTTACTCAAACATTACACAATAATGTGTTATAACAATTGTGTAAAAAGTCCCTGTTCATGTGTCTTATTGATGTTTAGGTACACACCATTGAGCTCTGTGCTGGAGCCTAGGCTGTGCAAATAGATGGTGTATTTTGTGATAAAGCCCCTCCGCTTGTCTATGGGCAGCTCGTCCCACGTGATCAGGATGTGTCCGACCTCATGGGCCAGCACACACACACTGGGACCACTAGCTGGCTCTGAAACACACACGCACACAGTGACATGGGTGAAGATCGACGGGGGGGAAGGCTCATTTCATGTGTGACGCATGTCACCATAGAAAAAAGGTGTGAAAATGTTTGGAGAACTAAGAGAGGTCATGACTCTTACTCTGTTCTCTGGAGTAGAAAAGGTGGGATGCCGGAGCGCTGACACCTCTGGTGGTCACGGCATACAATGACACATTGTACCTCACACCTGCAGTCAAACCTAAAAAAAAAGAAAAAAAAAGAAAGAAAAAAAATGACGCCATTCTTCACACAGGAAGTTATTTCAGAAACTGGTAAGAGAAGCAGGACGGTAGCAGAAATGAATGTGGATTATGAATAGCCACAAGAGGTCAGTGTTTGTTTTTTTTGAAGGTAACTGTTTGCTCTTTTGTTTTTTTTTTATGTTTTAGAGACAAGCTGTTCAGTTTTCCCAAAAAGCAATTGCTCAGTTTTTCCATTGACAGGAAATGAATGAAACCCAAACAATATTATGATATTGATATCCAAAGTTACTCATAAAAGTTACTGTAAAAGATTTCTGCTTAATTTTATGAAATATATCCTCATTCTTTTATTCCTTAAATAAAATTGAACAGTCCAGAAAACAAATTCTTTCTTTTACTTTGATCTAAGTGTTTCACATATTTTAAAGAAATGTCATGAGGTTTAGCTGAGCCGAGAGCTTTGTGCCATTTTCTGGACTGAAACTGAAACTTTTATAGATTTTTTTGCTGTGATATCCAGTGCTTCTGTGTGTCTGTCTCTCTGCTGCCTTTGCTGCTGAATGGTGAGCGTACCTGTGACAGATGTGCTGTTCTGATCTTTTTCAACCCTCTTCCACCACAGCTGCGTTGCAGGCACGCTCGCCCATTCTATTATGTAGTACACCAGTTCTTTGTGAGTGGAGGGGGACCAGGAGACGTGCGCGGCATCACCGTCAACTGCAGGAACCACCTCTCGCAGAATAGGCCTCAAACCACCTGCACATATAAAATAAGCTGTTGTTTCTCTCCACAACTTTAAACCTAAGTATTTATGGCTCTCTGTGTGTGAGGTGTTACTGCACCTGAGTTTCTGAGCTCCACAGTGGCTGGAGGAGACGCTCCGTATGAGGTCACTGCCCAGACGCTCAGCGCCTGGACGCCGGCCGGTACCTGAACGCAGCACATGCTGGAGGGGGCAGCGCAGGTCTCTTCATGGCCGCCCGTCACAAGGATCCTGTAATGTTGCACCTCACCGCTGTAATCCCTCCGAGGCAAAGGCTGAGGAAAAAAGTTCAGATTTTTAACAGTTTACGATATTCACACAATACAAATGACACTTAAAAATTGTCCCATTAGCACACTAAAACAGAATTTAAAATGAAATGATGTTCAAATCCAGACAAATAGAATAATTTAAAAAAACAGAGGGCCTTGTGCAGAACTATTGTTTTAGCCAGGGGTTATCTGAGCGATCTTGGTCAAATTAAAACTAAGTTTATGACGCAAATGTGAAAACTAAAACTACTTTATCATCTAAATTCGAGCGAGGAAATGAATAAGCGTGTCTCTGAATGTTCATGCGTACACGAGAATGAAACATTTATGGTGTTTGATATGCAATCTCTGTTTTAGAACAAAGGATGTCGAGTCATATTTAAAATAACGCCATCCTGAACTCTAAGGTAATATAACAACAAATAAAAAATCCAAGCCTAATATTCCCTAATAGGATAAAAGGATCTCAGACCCTGTACCTTCCACAAAACAGTAACAAGCCTCATCTGATTTTTGTCTCCCATGGTTCTCCACACATGCAGCTGCTGAGATGGACCTGGTGAAAAAGCAAATTACAAGCTGTCAGATTTCACTGACACAAAAAAATAAATGAATGTTTTTGTTTTGATAAATAATAATAGCATGCTTGCGTTTTCCGGGGGTTTTCTCCCTCACAGATGGGCTCCAGTGGCTGCAGAGCATTCTTGGGCTTGTTGTAAAGCCGGGTGCTTCGGTTTGCTTTAACCATGATGCTGAAGCACATGTTCTCAACTGGAGCTCGTATTCGGTCAGAGGCTGTAGGTTGTCCACTTGAATTTGACCCTCATGGACCTCTGATCCCTCCCTCGCTTCCTACAAGCATCAGCAGACTGGGTTAATTTCTGATACGGACTTAGGGTGGTGAGCATGACTGTGGATTTTCTGTCTCTTTACCCATAGCGCGTCATGTGAGCGTAGTCTGACTTGGGCTCTGAGAAGCCCTGAACACTCAGAGGTATTCCAGTGCAAAATGGCCGACGAGGAGTCGTTCCCAAACTCCATCTTAACAATGAGAGGGGTCTCTGGTATCACTGAAACACAGCACACGCAAACGTTACGCACAAGTTCTGACGAATGCTCAATGCAACGGTCTCAGAAGGTCGAGCGGTTTAAGAAAGAGGCCCAAAAATGCACTGTCATGGTGCAGTGAGCCATTTGCACCCTTCAAAGACACAGTGGATGATCGGTTCTCAAAATGAGTTGCTATGTAACCATAAAAACAAGTGACATGTCACAGGACTTTTGCAAGATGACTCACCAAGATTGATGGAATGATTAATATTCAAAATGGCAAGTTTTGTTGGTGTTCTTATGAAGAGATAGCTGTAAACAGGTAATACAGAAGCTCACCTATGTCTGTCACGCAGAGGATGAAGGGATCAGACTGCGATGTTCCAAAGTGGTTGTACTTGGTGATGGTCAACAGGTGTTTAGTGTTTTGGTCAAAGATCGCTCGCGGTAAAGTGATTTCTTCTGCATTCTGGATGTGCATCACGTGCAACTGAGTCCCATTTTGTCTTGTAGATTAAAACAAGTTATTACAATTTAGGTCAAATGCGTATATTAACCCGCATTAACACAAGAAAAATAAAGAAGTACCGACAACATGCCCCCGTACCTGCTGACTGAAATATTGTAGGAGTCACGGAGGTATGTTTCCTTTCCTCTCAGCCACGAGCACCTTATTACCTCTGAGCTCCTCGTAGTTTCACAGGTAATATTTCCAGGTTTATCTGGAGGCACTGGAAAACAGAAAAGTTCATTGTTACTATTTTCTTCCTTTTATCCTTAATTAATAAATAAAACCCCACACATTTCAAGTCTTTTTCTTTTAGGCATGAAAGTGCTTATTTTTTTCATAGAAAGATTTTTTCCCAACTCCTACAGATTTCTTCAATCCTAATGAAATATAACTGTAAGGATGTTATAAGTGAGTTTGCTGTGGATTTCAAACAACAAAGCTGTCACATTTCAGCCAAAAAATCCCACTAAATCACTCCACTAACTCTCACATTGTGAGTTTTACTTGGGTTGTTGACAGACCTAACCCTAACCCTGAGCCTTACCCCAACCCTAACCCTGAAACACCAGCTGACACGTTCAAATACACATTAGTGCATTCACAATTTAGAAGCTGAAATAATCAACTGAGTGAATCTAACCGGTGCACAACTCCCTGGATTGATAAGGAGCAATGTCGTCATCACTGTGGTGTGAGATTGGTTTCTTAAGAAGCAGAAAAACTCCCTTTTCTGTCAGTAGTCCTTTTTCAGAATAAAGAAATAAGATCACTTTCTTGATCTTCAGTAACAAACCTACAAAATGACATATAAATATAAACTACTTATATTCTACCAGCGCACAGAAAAGTGGAACACAAAAGGTGGCTGTGTGTAGCTACTGTGAATGACAACATTCTGAGTGCAATATTGTTCATAAAATACAGGTTTTTTTTGTTTAAAAAAAAGTGAGATGCTCCACAGCTAAGTGTGCTTACATCCTGCCTGTAGAGTCATTCCATTGACGATTCTCTGAGTGGACATGAATTTGCTTCCCATCTTGCAGACCACAGAGGACTGTGGCTCTAACACACGAGGATAGAAAACTGCCGTGGTGCAGTTGATTCTCTTGGACCCCTTCACGTCCTTCCAGTTCAGCTCCAGGGACAATTTGTGCCTGAAAATCAGCAGCACAGCATACATTTTTTTTTTCAAAAACGGAGCAAGCGACAACTCAAATGGAGAGGAAGATGATACATCATGAATCGTATTACATCCCGGACCCTCCTTACCCCTGTCGACATTGATTAATTTGGCAGTACACCGTCAGATCCGAGCCCAAGAGTAAAGGTGGAGCTGGCTCCACCATGACGTTGCCAAGGTGGATGAAGCGCTCGCAGAGAGCGGGGAGCAGAGGGCAGCCTGTAATGAAAAGCAAAGAGCACAGCATAAATCAAACGTCTTTATCTTTCAAGAAACCGACATCACTTTGAGACGTCCGACAAACGACACCCACAAATAAACAAAAACATCCATTAATTATTGTCATTATTTCTGCTCACTGTGCTGTTTTAGCTGTTAAAATGCATTCAGGGAAGCAGGGACGGACATATATGTGAGCTGCTACTCACCTCTGAAGAAAAAGGTAATAGTAGTGATTATGCATTTCCAAAGGGTTGAAGAGACATTCATCTCAGCTCATCTCTCTCAAACTGGAGGAACCCATCAGCAGCTGCGAGCAAAACCTACTGCCAAGACAAAAAAAAAAGAAGTTAAGATCTATGGGGAATGCACACGAAGAACAGAAATGAGGCATTCCCCGGCTATCTGTGTGCACCTGGATTAAAGAGGTGTTCTGACCTACACAGGAAGGAGGGATAGCACAATTTCAGTCTTATCTCCATTTTTGTGCTTATAACATTTCAAGAAGTGCAGAGTTATTCCGTCAGAGTGACACACACACACAGATATGTCAGATAGGAGATGTCAGTTGATTATGTGTGCTTCTAAGAAAACAGATGCTCTACGTGTCTAAATCTAAAGGAAGAAAAATTAGGTTAGATTACATTTGTCTTTCGTCACCAACAAAGAATCCAAAAAAACAAAAAAACTCACCAGATTGTCATTACATCAGGGTTTTCTTATCAAGGTACCTTTAGAAAAGCTCTTTATCGCTCTGTTCTATTCCTCAGACGACTTCACTTGTGGCGTGAGAGAAATTAAAATGATCTTTGATGTGCAATCCGTGTATCTTAAAGAGGCCAATGACCTAGTTTGGTGGCTTTCTGGCAAATCAGAAGACTTGAACACTTGTATGGGCGTCTGTGTGTCCCACTTTGGCTGCCTGTTTTTCACCACCACAAAGGTTCCGCTGACGTTGAACGTCCCTGTGTTGAGCGGCTCTTTTAATGTTCTGCTGACTTCAGATTACACATCAACTCAGCAAAAACTGCCGGCCCTCCTGAGAAGAAAATGTACTGACCAGTTCTGCACCACTATCTGGTTACCCACTTTCCACTAGTACAGCTGAAACCTTTCTGTCGCAGTTCATGTAAAAAAAGGATGAAAAGTTTATCAAGACATACAGAACTCATTCACGAAATAGCAAATATTAGGTTTTTTGAGCGTAAATTGACACATACATGTTGGATCCACTAATTGGGATCCTGTGGGAGGTAAAACACACTCACGTGTTAAATCTGGTGGCTTTCTTTCACACTTGATCCTCGTTTTCTCCAGCTGGATGGATTAACCCTGTTTTGATGTTGCAGATGTGCCAGTCGTCTGAGAAAGAGCGAGACATTCTCAAGCTACTCTTGTTGTTTTAGTTTTTCTCAGTTTTTCCATCTATGACCTCAAAAGCTTGAAAGGGAAAACCCAAATGTGTAAAAGGAAGCAAGCTCGTAAAGATCAAAGACATCTCAAGAGTGAAGGCTGCCGACTTCCATAATGAAAAGTTACATATTTAATGTTTTAAAGGTTAAATCCAGGACATAAAAAAATGTGTGAAATTTTTGACATTTTGACATTCGACATATAATGTGACATCTCTGTGCAAATCATTTTGGTAGCTCCATGTCAAACCTTAAATGAAGTCTTTTCATTACATAAGCCTCGGGTGTCATTGCACTGTACTTTTAATTTAATTTACGAACCAAAGACAGACAACAGACGCTTTGCCTTCAATAGCAGTGAATAAAAGTACCAGAGAAATCGATCAAATGTAAGGTTTAATGTAATAAGCAAAAAATGGCAACAAAAAGGCCTTGAACATTGTCTTATACCACAAATAAGAGCCAGTCTAATGCGATCGACCCAGAGGCGGCAGAGGGGCTGAAGGGCAGAAGGAAGTGGCTTAATTTGCCACATATGAGATAAGACAGCACGCAAAGGTGTTCTGGTATAGCATAAAAATGACTAAACCAATTGCCTCATGGTGGTGTGGCGGTTAGCCTCACAGCAAGAGGCTTCCCGGTTCGAGTCCTTCGGGGGAACTGGGACCTTTCTGTGTGGAGTTTCCATGTTCTCCCTGTTTCGGCCTGGAATCGCTGGGGTTTGCCGGCTTCCCACCATCCAAAAACATGCATGCTTTCCAAATAGTGTCTAGGAGGGACTGTGAGTGTGGTTGTTTGTGTCTGTGGGGCCCTGGATGGATGGATGACTAAACCACAAAACACAAGCCTGCAACCCAGAATAAAAAAGTAGTAGAAAAAGAGTCAAAGGAAATTCAATGGCTCAACCTCTCTTTGTGCAAAGAGATCAATGTCTGGATGTGACAGGTGAATATTAACACACCTGACAGGGATGATAGAAGGGAATGCTAAACATGGCAGTGCAGGCCATGGCCTTAAAGAGGAGCTCTCAACAGCCAGAATCACCATTTTAAATAAACAGGCAGGTCTACGTGAGTTTAACTAGGTGTCCGAAAACAGCCTGAATGAAAAGAATGAACTCAGTTTCAGTGGACTTTATTTGGGGGTGAGTAAAGTGGTGAGTGTCCCCACTTGTCAAATGGGAAACCGGGGTTAATTCTCCAACAGGGAGATACACATTTATATATTCTACCTTTATGAGTCGCTTTGGATAAAAGTGTCTGCTAAATTCATAAACATAAACACAAAAACTCACTACATATCTGCACATTTGACAAAAATGTACAATTAAAAAGAGGCTACTGATTGTCTTTAGTGCATATTTCAATTGGGTACATAACCATAATAAGACCATAGATTAGGTTTAAAGGGAACCAGTGCTGTGGATAAAGGCTAAAGTGCAGCTACGGATGGGGGGGATAAGTGTCGACTCAGCGAGGCGCAGCACAGAGCCGGTACGGCTGGGGGCAGCGAGTGGCCCCCAGCCTGAACTCCAGGCTGGGGCGCTCTCCTGGCGGCGCCGAGAGGGAAAACCTCTGGAGGACGGAGGTGAAAAAGAGGAATAACTCCATCCTGGCCAGCTGCTCCCCGAGACACACGCGTTTACCTGAAAGAACACAGCAAGGCCAAAGCGTTTAGGTGACGGGACACTTTAAGGGAGGGAGACACCCCCCCCATGCTTAAGGGACCTGACTAAAACAGAAAAAGGTCTGGGTGAATTTAGCTAGCGTTTTAGTCAACAGTGGGACTTTGAGATTTGAGACGTGAAACCGATACCTGAACAGAAGAACATGCAGCTTTTGCACATCAAAAGAAAAATGTCGTCATGAAATAAGGTGCACAAATTTACCAATCACTCAATGCCAGTTACTGGTCGGAAGTAAGAAGGCCTGCTCTCTAGTTTTTTTGATCTGTGTGAGGCCCTTCTGTTTGGAGGATTTTAATACGTAACTAACCAGCAGAGAATGGAATGAAGGCCTCTCTCCTCCGAAATTTACCGTCCTGGTCCAAGAAGTGCTGAGGGTTAAAGGAGTGGGGAGTTTCCCACTTTGATTCATCGTGCAGGACCGAGTGGAGCGTGGCAATGATCATGGTGCCCTAGAAACACGGAGTGGAGGAGAAGGATGAGCCATACACAACAGATTCCCCTGCTCTCCGTTTGATGAACAAAACTCAACACAACGAAGAAGTACAGGTCGGAATATTTCAAAGTAGGTGATTTGAGTTCTGAATCAAAACAGTAACGTTTGAACGCATAATTAGACCCAGTCAAAAGGCTGAAAGGCTGTCAGAATAAAAATGGCATTTTTGCAGACTTTGTTGTAACAGTTGATTTAATTACAAGCAGGGCAGGAGCATAAAACGTTTAAATAAGTTGTTGAGTGCCTTGAATTAGACTTTATGAAAGGCAAAAACTTTTTAATGTCACAGTAGCATCATTTCTGGGCTTTCGGGGCACGCCGGAACAAAAGAAGCACCCACTAATGGTGCAGGCGTCCACGTTGTAACGTGAGATATTGACACAAAAAGACGAATACATTAGCTGCATTACTGTTTCACAGTGTGTGAAAGAAGAAGTGAATTATAGACCTAAAACAGCAGTGATCGTTTAATAAAAAAGCTACTATAATTACTAATATTAAGATTAATAAAAAGAATAAGCAGCAAAAGAAGAAGGGACATTTTGAGGAGCACAACAGCCTGTTAATAGTTTCTGCTTTGGAAATGATTTACTGACGTATCCCCCAATTGAACGTGCTGTCCAGTAAAGTCATTTTGGACCACAGGTTCTACTATAAACACCACAAAAAACTGATTTAACCTCTGCTGCTTCCACTTTGATGAAGATCTGTGTTCGTTCCAGTCCTGCTCCTTTGCTCACAGACCGGTTTCCGAGTCGGTGGGAAAACAGCATTTCATTCAAAATTCCTATAAACCGCACATTATATCGAAACAAAGCGGTTCTGTACCTTTGGGATGGAGTACTTATCGAGGGTGGTGTCCCTGCTCGTCATGCGTGCCACATTAAGAGGGATGATGTTGCCCATTCTCTGTATCTCGTGGATGACGGCGTCGGTGTACGGCATGTTCTCCCGGTCAGACACGGCCGGCTGTCTGGATGACCCCACCACGGCGTCGATCTCAGCCTGGACCTTCTCTGCACACGCAGGAATCGGTACAGCGTGCGCTTACGGACCAGCGACGGTTCCTCGCAGGAAACGCTCACCTTGTACGTGGGGATGGGCGATCATGTAGAGCAGCCCCCAGTGAAGAGTGGTGGCCGTGGTCTCCGTTCCAGCACCGAACAGGTCCAGAGTGCAGAAACTCAGATTTCTAATCGTAAAACCAGCATCTTTGTCCTGATTCTAGTGAAGAAACAAGAAAATAAAAGCAAAAATGAACTCAAATCAAATAGAAAAACACAATATGTAACAAAGGCAGAAAGGAAACAAACACTCACCTGTCCCATCTCTATGAGGAAGGAGTCAATGTAGTCTCTGGGTGATGAGGGGTCAAGGTCCTCTCTGTGTTCTCTGATTCTGACCTCTATGAAGTCGATTATCTTCTGTGTCAGGACGAATATCCTCTGATGAGGTCCAGGCAGCCTCTTCATGAGCCACGGCATTGTGTTGTACATCTACAAGATAAAGAGGCAGGAGCCCGATGGCCCAACACTTCCAAACAGCTCACACACTCACATTTAGGAGGAGACTAACAACCCTCCGGCAGCAAACATCAACAGTCAAAGACAGAAGGCTCACCTGTGCCCACGCGCCTCCCTGTAACATCACCACCTCATTAAAGTCCCTCAGGATAGACAGGCACTGCTCGTCAGAGTATTCGAAGCGGCTCCCAAACACCAAAGAGCAGATGATGTTGGACACAGCACTGCTTATCAGAGTCTGGGGATTAAAAGCTTTGCCTGTAACAAAAGGGAAACTTAAATGAAACACAAACTCTTGAACAAAGGACATAAACTAACTTTGATTTACATTAAATTAACCAAGCAATCCTTTTCTGTAAAACTGATGATTCTCTAGTTTATTTAACTTGTTTTGTGGTTCGCGATCCACAGTACAAATAAGCCAGTTCCTCTCAGTTGCAAAGGAAGAAAGAAAATACATGTTGGAGAAATGAGATCATATATTAAATAGTTTTCTTTGCCTCGGTGATCACTGAAAGCCTCTGTGAGATTATGGCATTCTTGCTGGATGAATCGTTCCAGTGCCTTCTTTCCCAGACCAAAGTTTTTCAGCGTGTGAAGAGCAAATCTCCTCTGCTGCTTCCACTGATGACCATTCGATATCACGAGCCCTTTTTAAAAAAAAAAAAGGATAAAACACAACAACATTAGAGCTGCAGAAATCAAAGCCCGCTGCTACTGACCAAACTAAACACGGACAA